CTAGGTATTTTTACGTGCGTAATCATTTGTCCTATTAAGTGAGTACATGATAAACATATACATAACATTGACATTGAAAAAAATTCATAAGTTCATATACCTGTGTTTGTACTGCAAAATGTTTTTTTCTAAGCATTTAATGTTAACACGTGGTGTTTGAATTCTGTAAGGGGTCTCCAGCTGCGTAAACAAGGCCACAAACTGTGATGCGTATGGCGATTCGGCCTGCACACAATACGCTGCCTGGGCAAAAGAAAACTGCGCCAAGATGTGTAACCTTTGTGGTACGTTATCCATCAAATTAATCACCTATACCTTAAATTATTGATAGCCCACGAATTTAAGGGAGAGGGGCGATTTTTTAATAAACATACAAGTACAGCGAGTAAGAGCTGTAATTAATTCCCACTTTTATAAGTACATGTAAGCAGCTACATAGCAGGGGCAATTGACTAGAAGTTTGAAGCGTCAGGCTAATGAAACACACGGTTTTCAAATACATTAGCCCAATCTTGGCCTAGAAGGCATTTTTAAAAATGATTTTAGTCATCTTTTATCTTCATTCTAGTAATTTTTTATTTATAGCAGTGTTTTTCTGCAGTCTACGAGTCTGAGATACCAATGGGCTGAATAGTAAAGGCGCAGACTGCATAGTTATGACAGATTTGAATATCAGCTGCTTTGCTTGTATTAAATGGCGAAAGATAGCAATAAATTTTGTTGGGAAAATGCTATCATTGCCTATTAATTTTTTTATCTCTTAGTGTTTTGTGCTCATGTTGAAAGAGCAACCCCATTTTAAAAAATTACATGTGTAGTTTATCAATTACTATTCATTTAAACAATTGATCTCAGCGTGTTTCTATATCAGGCGGCAGTTCCTCCGGTGGCGGGTACCCAGGCTACCCAGGAAACATTGGAACCACCGGAAGTAGTATTGTGATCACTGGTCAATGTAAGTCAATGGTGAATTCTTTTCCGCTTTTGTCTAATCGCCATAACAGAATTCTCCATCAGTCCCCTGATAGTTTGGCTTTAGTTATTTTCTAAATCACAACGTATCGATGGACACACAGTAACCGTGCAATGGCGCAGAAAAACCGAGCAGCGCAATTAGCTTGCAAGTTATAAGTCTAGTTAATAACTCAAGTTTTGTGGAATTTTCAGGAATATATGTGTAGTTGTTTTGAACCATTTTAGATAAGCGCGTTTGAGCTTTTAGTCTTACGTATATACGTGCCTACGTGTACGTGATGTGACCTATTTACCACGTGACGTTTCGACAAACTCTCTCACGCCGGCCGGTCGGTTTATTATGATTAAATTATTTATCCTCACGACTTACATGTACGAAGTAGGCCACATATTATAATAAGTCCACGAAGGTGGGAAGGCTATCTGTAGCCTGTTGATAGCTTTGTATACAAACGTTTCAACCGGGTGATACTAAATATTACTGTTCGGCTAATTAATTTTTTACCTTATACTAGACTTTCGTAACGATTAAGTCTAAGTGAGTATCCATTTATGTAAAATAAGACGAGATGACTAACATCTATAGCTTTAAGTGTTCAGCTTTCATGGACACTGTACATGGAGACCCATAATGCACATGTAGATTAAGATATAGAATGCAATAGTGTTTACACTTGTATGTTTCTTATGCTTTGTACATTTATGATATATCTAGCGTCTGGTTGTATCTACAATGGCAAGACTTACAAAGAGGGAGAAAAATGGAATGACGCCTGCAAATACAGCTGTACGTGCAGTGATGGAGTCACGGGTTTCTACGAATGTAATACAATGTAAGTGAAACTAAACGTAATGGAGATCTTCCTCCTTATGTAAGCCTGTTCTTTTTTATGTGTAAAATCAGAATAGAAAGGCTCAGTTTTGGATGAAATTATAAAAAACATTGGATATTGATGCGATTAGACGGGGGTCCTCCATATATTATTAATTGGTTTTATCCCTGAAATGGTGCACCATATATGCCTGCTGCGGTTTTGCCATGCACGTGCGCATCCATACAGAACTAGTGGACCATAGAATCTCTGAAACCAACAGAATGTCTTTACACTGACGAATCCTGTCAAGTGTTGGTGGGTGGGAGCACAGGATTCAATCTACTGCGCATGCGCGAAAAGTACGCTGTTTGAAATAAAAAAAGGTGAAATTGCCAAAGCCTGCCGGTGTTTACCGTCTGGTTGATTTGATTTAATTTGCTTTCTGGTGTTGTTTTGAGAAATTATATTAGAAATATTCTGTTGATTGTATGTATTAAAAAACAAATCCATCGGACATTCCTTATAGTATCATTAATTTTGCCTTCATGGTAAGGGGATTCCCTTCGTATTTATAGTGTTATATGTGGCCCCAAGGGGATTTTCCACCCCCCCCCCCTAGATTAATAAAATTCTTCATGGGGCAGATTGAAAATTATATTGCAAAATACATTTTAAAACGTAGGAAGGTTAATTGCAGATAATGCTGCGAGGATATTCTAGACCTGGGGCGAACTCGGCCAATATAAAATTTTTAACTTCGTCTTCCGATTTCGGAGCGCCTGTTCTTATTTTTGAAAGCGAAGCAACGGCACCAAACAATACGATACAATTTGTAATCTCGTAAAAATTGATATTTTTCAATATAGCTCATAGCAGGGCGTACATTAAAAGGCGACTCGTTTATTATTGTGATGTTTAATAATAATTAATATAAAAGGTACGATATAATAGGTTCTTGTCTTCGGCCTATTTATTAGCTTAACTGATTTCTATAAGTATTTGGCGATTAAAAACACAAAAGCTGTCCGGTTTCATGTCGAGGCACCACGTATTGTGTGCTTGTGCTGTGGGTGGGTGGGTTACAAGAACGAAAATGGCCGTGTTATGAGAGGCAAAAACCGAAGAGGGAAATTATTATTTCGTTCCGCGTGAAATTCCGCTTTTACTGTGTAGAAGGAGAAGGGGTGGAGAGGGTGGAGAGGATATCTACAAAAGTAAGGGGGTGAGGCCCTTGCCCCTGTTTTCTGGATCTTCCATTGTTTTGGAATGCAGTCCTTTTGTACCCATGTCTTTTGTAATGATTTATACAAAATGTATGAAAGAAATTATTTTTTCTCCCTACAGGTGCCCTCAATGGCAGTTACCAGATGTATGCAACCTCCAGCCACGCCCAGGGAAATGTTGTCCTAAACCTTCATGCCCACCTAACTACAGTATTACCTACCCAGCAGGAATGTCTGAGAGCACCTTACCATAGACACCCGGATGTTCACGTGTCAGCAACGTTACACAGCTTCTTTGCCATGGAAAACGATAATAAATGTCCGTCGATATTATATAAATTGGCTGCTAACTTGCAAATAAATGGATAAAGAATATTGTTAAAATCGTTGATTTTTTTAACCATGACGTAGTATGGAAGTTTTATGAACCACAGTGATAGCAGGACTGTGACAGTAATAAAATACAGTGATACCATCATCGTGATATTATACATTTTTATGTTTTTATTTGAAATTTGTTAACATTATATTTCAAAACTACGTTATTACGTAAACCTTAGCAAGCCACTGTAAAGCACATTCTTGACACTATTTTTTTTTTTGGAACTTGGAAATTCAACCGAGATATATCTATAGTACTAGTAAAACTCAAGGGGTTGAATCTTCGTGTCGTTATCAAATTGATAATTTTTCAAAATATGAGAAAAAATTAAAAATAAATAGCCTCATAGTTTTTATATCCGTGTGTTTCTACTTTCATAATGCGTAGATTTTATCACAATTTCGCTCTCGAATTTAATATTAGGTATCACATGAATGCTCTCACCTATATACTGTCGTTTAGATCATGTTGAAAGCTGTCTCGGTGCTAGAAAAATTTGGAAACAACCAAAAACGTATTTTTTCGAAAAATGCCAGTATATCGTCACCTCTAGAACACTGCACTTACACTCAATATTTCACTGGCGTTTTTGTGAAGTAAAGCTTATTTAAAAAAGAGAATTAAAAAATAAACGTTGCATCACTTTAGTGATTTTATTCACCCCTCCTTCCCCCGGGTGGAAGAACGTGCGATGTGTTGCGCGGCAAAGGACAACTTAGCTTATTCATTAATGACTGTCTATGGAAACCGTGACACTCAAGGTACTGAATCTGAGTGGCATGTTGCAGCAGCAAGCCATCATCATTATATTGGATGGAGGGGCAAATGCCCTACAATTCAGGTACTCTCCTTAATCAAAAAAAAAAGGAGAAGACGAAGTAAAAAAGACATGCTGTTTAAGGCCCGTTACGCTTGGAGAAAGAATTTTGGCCTATTCTCACAAATATGTTACAAAAGAATATTTTGCATTCATTAAGACTGATGTATAGATATGATGCCCACTATCAAACACTGCCAAAGCCCCAACTTTGAAGGAGTAAGAGTAGACAAAATGTTGTTCACCAAGCGTTCGAAATCCCCATGTGACAGAGGCTTAACACAGTAACTAAACAATACAACATTGGCCAAAAAGCTGCCCCACCTCCAATTCCATGTGCTTTTATTCACAAATGATCACCTTTTAGGTGTAAATTGTTATAAATAGTTCTTTTTGTTCCAGATATCTAACATGATAAATGGTACAAAAAAATACAAAATAGCGGTGAAGGTATCCATATGCATACTATTTATTCAAATTTATAACATATGCCCCCTCAAATCTGATGCATACTTCACTGTGAAGACCACAGAAGAAATGGTATGTTCATTTAATTGAAAAGACACCACCACAGATAATGTTGTATGTAGTAGAGAGCCATCAGATAGAGCGGCCCATCCTCAGTGACCTACTGAAATGCACCCTCTCAAACTCAGGGTGAGGGGTCTGAGAGAAACTCGTGACGTAACTTGGCGCAACAGCAGGCACCAGATAACCTGCACCTTCCTTGCTTGACCTTCGTGTCATGTCACCACTCCATGCTGTTTCTCTCTCTTTCTAGTGGCGCCCTCTTTTACTCCTACGCAGCGATAGAAAACACAGAGTGCAGTCTAAGTCTGACACAACAATTATTTTTTGGTTTTTTTTAAATTGACTAAGTACGTCTTTATCTGTCCTTAAGAAGGGAAAACCCTGTGCAGGGAGTAGTGAAAATGACTCGTGTGGTGTTAGCAGCGTTTTGTGCAGTTTATGCCATATCTGTGGCAGCCGGTCAAGGTATGGAACTTTACGTGTAATAGTTTCAAATTAAAGTATGATAAGTATTGTACCCAATGATTCCAGCGCCATGTTTCGATATCAGAAATTGATAAAATGATTAACCATTTTGATTGTATGTATATCTCAAAATGTCAAACAAAACTGCACGTTATGATTAATTTCAGAAACGCATTTAAGAACCTGCTCTTTCCTTAGAAAGAGATAACTTTCTCATTTGGATATTTAAAGAAATTTGTTGTTTGTCTACTGTTGCTAGGAAGATCATTAAAACTTCAAGGGAAAAAATTAAACGTGACATATATATTTAAATATTGATTAGTTAGAGTACAGCGTCAGAGCACCAAATTCAGAGTGTATGAATTCCACCTTAATTCTGAGCATGCCCTAGCCTGGGCCAAATGTTATACCCCGACCTTAATCATTTTTTAAGATAAACCACTTTTGATCACTTACTTGTTGCAATTAGGCATCTTATTTAGTTATTTAAAACGGACCAGGTGGAACAATAATACACCTATCACCTGGAAATCAAGGCATGATCATAGTAGTTAGATATGTCTATTTGATTATTTGTTTATTCTACTTAATTACTACTTGCTTACCTGGAAAATCACAGTATAGGTAACATTCTCAAGGGTGCATTGGTGATACAACTTTGAGTAAATTATTTCAGTAAAGGGATATATACATGTAGATGAGTGAGTTTATCCGTGTACTTCTACCTGCTTAACTGGAACCATTATGATGTATAACAAGCAATATGACAAGGTGGGGCGGTAGAAAAACCCTTTTTAACAAAGGGACATCTGAATGATTTAGATGGGTGTGTGTACGGGGGGGGGGGGGGCAGTAGTTACAGTAGTTATGATGTTATGAATGGGATAATTGAATGACTTACATCCCACAAATTTTTGAAACCAATACTTATTTCATTAAAGTGGATTTTTATGGATTTTTGTTTAGATTAATTTTCTGGCTTAAATGCTTTTTGTGGAACAACAGATTGGCGTACGCAAACTTTGGCTTTCACTGGAAAAGGGTGCAAACAAACGCCTACTTCCTGCAGTCAGTCCAAAAACGATTCAATTGAAAATGATGCTAAACTCGTCCTGATATCCAGCGTGAGAAGCGTCACCTGTTAGCGATAACCCCGACGTCTGCTATCACAGACATGTCTTGTAAACGTGCCATCGGCTTGCCGATATCTGTGCTGTGTATTCAGCCATATCAATAGCCGATTATACAGAAAATTGCGCACTTAAGCAAATAAGACCAATTGACATCATCGGATGCCATAAAATGAAATTTTGAAATTGAATATTCTGTATAGAAATGTGAAATTTAGAAACCGAATCTCGGGAAGATATGAACTGTTAAGAAGTAAAATCATAGAAATAAGGGAACGAATTGAAAAAACTCGAAAGCTACCTGTGAGGGCAATTATTATTATTATTATTATTATTATTATTATTATTATTATATCCAGGCTGCGTAGACCAGATAGAGAACTGTCATCACTTCAGCCGCACAGTGTGTGCTGAGACTAAATACGGTACCTGGGTCAGAAACAACTGTCCTCGCTTCTGTGGAGTATGTTCAGGTAAGTAATTTACAATCACAAAACCTTCCTTAATATTATGTTATATTGTATTTCATACTATTCTATTTCATCCAATTCATTCTGTTCTATTTCATTCCACTTTATATTATATTATATTGTATTTCATGTCATTCCATATCTTTTTATTCTATTCCGTTTTGTTCTGATCTGTTCTATGAGGGTACCTTTTGACGAATAGTAACAATAAGAAAAATGTTTATTTTGAGTCTAAAATCCAAATTCGTTCAGTAGATTTAGCAACGTGGAAAGGTTTTATATAATAAAATTGATAAAAAATAAATATATAAATAAATATAGTTCCTTAATGAAAAATTATTACGGTCGAACGAAATTTTTTTACGGACATGATTACTTGGATATAAAATGTGTACAAAGAGATTTCATACAGCATTAACATTTTTTAAATTGATTCAGATAAAAACTAAACAAGATAAAGATTTTGTTTCATTAATATAGATTGAAAAAAATGAAAGATATATTACTCAATGGATGAACACCTTTCCAAGTATCGTAAACAAATACCACTTATCAATATTGTGCTGGGGGGGGGGGGGGGGGGGGGGGAGGGGGTTTCAAGGTTATCTTCATACTTTCCTAAGTATGAATTTTAAGTTGGACGTTCAGTCAGGATGGCCGAGCGGTCTAAGGCGCTGCGTTCAGGTCGCAGTCCACTTCTGTGGGCGTGGGTTCGAATCCCACTCCTGACAGATACAGGTCTTTTTATTCTTGTTTTCCTCACTGCTCCTAACAAGCCCCAAATATTATATTTGCAATCAGCACGGCAGTAACTTTAGCATCGTATACCTTTTTCATCAAATTATTTTGGTTCAGAGATAATCTTGTCTGCAATATTTTCATTACTGTGTTGTTGTTGCTGTTGTTGTCCGTCTTTTTATTCTTTTCTCTCTCTCCCTCATGCATATGAGACACTACGAAATAATGTCAAATCTTTTCCCACTGAACAGATCAAGGTTGCCAGAACTCCCGCAGTAACTGCGACCACTACAGCGATGACGTGTGCACCAATTACGCTACATGGGCTCGCAACAACTGTGAGAAACACTGTCACTTCTGCGTAGGTGAGCAATGAAATATCCTGTATTTACGATCTCGCTCATAATTATGATACATTAGGACAAACAGAGATTTATTCATTTTTACAGGGTAAATGTGATACCATGTTTAACATGCGTTAATCTACTTTAAAGTTACTGTTTCAATATATTGCTTGAATAATGTCAAACACAAAAGGTGGTTAGAGTCTTGTGTGACAAATCTACCAATCATAAAAGGTCGCGCGTACTTTTATGTCTGTAACTGCCGATGTGTCCTGATGCAAGTCAAGCGTTTTCCAGCAAATATGAAGAGTGACGGTGTAATCTGTCCAACAACTTTTTACGACTTCTTAAATTAGCGCCTATTTTCTTTATTTACATCATTCTATTTCAGGTTTTGCGTTGTTCGGAATATTCATTGTTTTCCCCATTCTCGCCATTTTCTTCCAGAGCCCGGGGAGTGTACTGACGTGATACCCAACTGCCACCACTACTCCAACAGCGTGTGTACAGAGTATGCCTACTGGGCCAATAACAATTGTGCAAAATATTGTGGATTCTGTCAAGGTCAGACACACGTATTATGGATATAAGCATACAAACAATCGCTGATAAAATAATAATGAAATAATGATAAATATATTTTAGTCTAAAATCCATTTTTTTAATTTAAAAATGTTCAGTAGACTTTACGGAAAAACAAGTAGGGTACTTAAGAGCACAGATACCAAGATAAATAAAAATGAAAAAATATCAAGAAAGATTGTGATTCTTCATACAAAAACGGCCTAATTCTCACATAAATACCTTAATAATTGTTATTAAAATAATCAATAGTAAAATTTCTTTTAAAAAGATTAGAAGTCCTTTTTAGAATTATCAGTTGATTCAATTGTGAGGATTTCATTTGGTAGCATATACCATATTCCTTTGGTCCAGCTGACTTAAAAGAGATGTCCCCATAAGTTTTAAGACACATTTTTACAGTTCAGTAACAGTTTACAGATCTCTAGAATGAACATAATGAACTAATAAATCATTTAAGTAAGTTGGTGCCACTTTATTGAAAGCACCATGGACGAAAACTAAGAATTTAAATAACACGTAAGAATTTTAATAAAACACAATTAGAGAATTAAACATTTTTCAAACACCAAATATTTCAGCCTCGTGCCACTATCTTGGCAAGGACTACAAAGAGGGGGAGAAATGGGCCGACGGGTGCAACTACAACTGCACATGCGTCCAAGGTGCAGCGAAATGCGTAAAAATGACGTAAGTCGAATCCAAATTCATTTTGACGTTTGCTATAAGGAAAACCAGTGCATACGTTTTTATCTTTTATCAGTGTGGTCTTTTTTGAAGTCATTGATGAAAATGTGTTTTACAATGTATCACAGTTGATGAATGATTGATCCTTACATTATAAAAAACGGTTCCACTACATTGGCTGATTTTAGAAACACAGCTTCAGGATTTTCCAGGAAAAGTGGACCAGTGTGACAGGAATGGTAGTCCTAGGAATGGAAGTCCTGGGTCCCATATCATTAGTACAGAGGTTAGAGTTAGTTGGAGTACTGGGGTTAGTATATGGGACAAACCTCTACAAAGAAATGGGGAACGGAATACGGCTCCTAGCAGACTTCCATTCCTGTCACACCGACACAGAAATTTTTGTATGCAGTGTTTTTGGAATGGAGGAGGGTGAGAAGGAGTACTTGCAAAGCGGGGGAGGGGCACGTGGCCCTCTGCTTCCCTCCGTTCAAATCCGTCATTAGCGATAATCTGTAACTATTTCATCGCTTATTAATCTATAATTTATACTATCAAAGCGATGCTGTGCGATATACGCGTCATGGCAGTGACATGTTGGTGACATTGATTGTAATTTCTCTGTCTTTCCAGCTGCCCGCAGTGGAACTACCCTCCAGCCTGTGCGTTCAACAAGGCGGTAGGCGAGTGTTGCCCCTCTCCCAAATGTCCGCCTAACGTGCAGGCCTATCAGATCCTCGCAGGTCGTCGTTAAACCCCGCCCGACGCTCACTCCGCCATTCTGAGCGCTTCAACATGACTATAAACATCTTGCAATAGTGTTAATTCTTGGATTATGTCATGATATGATGCGACATAAACTGATTTCTACAAGAATTTCTTTTAATTTTTATGTAGTATTGAAATGTTTCTTGGTGCCCTTAGCATTCCCAACACCACCATGCCCCACATTAAAAAACATTGCTTTATATGTATTGATGTATTCTTCCATTTTTCTACTTTTTTTCGCTCCCATCTACTTACCATTCTCATTTTAAATTGAGCCTTTTTAAAATGTTATTGATATTTTACTCTGCATGACAGCTTGATGTCCTAAGCACGCGATTATTCTGCTTATATACATAAATCCGGTCCTGCTACGATACAAAAAGCAATATGGAAACTTTTAGGTATTTAAATTACTCTTTATGTTTAACATAAGGTGTTGTCTACCATGGCTTTAGACTTATAATTAGTATATGTATAAAATAATGAAAGTACGCGTACGGTGCGTTTTACACAAATTTAAGGAGATGCTTTCTACAGGCCTTAAAGAAAATAATGTACAAGAAAAAGACCTGTGTGTGTTTGTTCGTTTGTACGTTTGCCTGTTCGCTTTTGCGGTTGGGTAGTTGTACTTTATTTCATGTTCAACCAGGAGATAATCTCATAAAATTTACATGTGTATCTTCCCAAAACCTGAAGAGCAGACCGCACTCGAGCCTTAGCGCATAAACAAACCTACAACCGGTGAAGTCCTTCATTCACTACAATGCACTCAGCTCTTGATAACAAAAATGTCACACGTTCAATTCTATGTGTATGTGTTAACAAATTATCACATCTCAATTGGAAACAGTTTTTAACATCACTTTTTATCGCTTATGCCATATCAAACATGCTTTGTGGTACAAAAAAAAAACAATATTCCGCTGTTCATATCCTTTTTTTCTTCTAGAAAATTTGGAACGTGCACCCCCCTCAAATCTGCACCCATTTGGTAACTTTATCTTTTAATCATGAAGGGACATCTTCATTCAAGAGCTCTCAGATTTGCTATAATGAGCCTCACCTACGACAGTGCTAACATTACTTAAAATACCCCCACAGGACAGGACTCTACCAGGGCGACTGATAGATTTTTACAGATATTCACAGATGTGTCTCTAGCTAGATAGATGGTCATTTTGAGCTGAAGTCACCCTGTTGAGGAATCCCATGTGGCTGACTGGGTGACTTCAGTCCAAAATGACCATCTATCTAGCTAGAGACATATCTGTGAATATCTGAACTGGATTCTTCCTCCTCACTAATAGAGGTCGGTAAGGTGATGCCGTCTTTTTGTATCTTTCTTATTATTATTTTTCTATTATTTTTGTCAAAATTCTCACAATACAAGATGTGCAGAAAAATAGCTTGAGAAATATAGGCCTATGTGAAAATATTGTAAAAAAAAACATCTCTCTGTGACTCGGATAGCATGTACGAACGAGATGATCTTACTTGCGACGAATATTTCGAAAAAATGCGAATCCGTCAACGAAGACAAAGGTTTTGCAGGCTGTAACTTAATGAATTGAATAGTTCGCAGTGCTTTACTATGCTGAAACAAACGAAAAAAGTAGGCCCTATATTTAATTTGATTAATGGAGGCACATGTAGAAATAGAAATTGGAAATAATGGATGCATGTAACATTTGCTTAGTGTTTATTTTTATGTCATGTTAAGAGTTGTTGTAACTTTATCTTTAATAGAGCTCCAACATGAAAATAATGTTTTTGGGCTTAATAGGAATTTTGAACCACACAGTGTTCTGCACTGTTTTATTCCCCGTTTATTTTTTCAATTTTTCATTTTCTTTAATCAGTCGTAAATTGGAATAAATACATTTAAGTTAATATGGAAAACAATTGCGTCTGTCGGTATGAAAACCTCACTGCATTCAAACAAAACATCTGGTACCCAATATTGACTTTTCACTCAAAACGTGAATAGTTTAAAATCTAGCATTTCTGTACCTCTGTTAACGTATAGACAATGCCCCCCATTGTGTTTTTCTGTTCGATTGCATCAGTTGCGCTGCGCCTTTCTGTGCGTCGCGTTTGAATATTGTGACTGTTTACCTGACTCAAACAGCTGTACAGGTAAACACACAGGTAATAAAAGCGACATCACGTGACTTAACGAATCTCTCCGCCATTTTGAAGGTCATTATAGAAGCTGTAAAATATAGGTCATTTCGCCACACAAGTTGTCGTAGGAGAGGCGTTAAACTGCCTGGAATGGTGGTAGTAAGCTTGTTAAGTGTCACAGTGGATTAATTAAAAGGTGAAGATGGCGTCGAGTCTCGAAATACGACACCTTACGCAGTGCCACGGCTGCAGCGGTTACATTTACCCCGTGGAAACGTTCATAGACTATGGAGTCCTGTATCATCGCAACTGTTTCCGTTGCAAAGTGTGTCGGAGGAGGCTGAACGATAAGACAAAATACAGGTACTCGGAGTACGACTCTCTGGAGGACGTTTTCTGCTGGAAGCACGCGCCATGGCAGATCAACCCAGAGAAACAAAACAGCCTCCTTTCTTCCTCTGCCCTCTCGGGGAGTCAGATTAGTTTCTGGAGCGTTGACACCCAGGTAAGCGGCGTCATCAAGTGTTTAAAGCTTTGACAAAGTTAATGAGAGTCAAATGTGTCCCAGGCTAGTACCTGTAGGTGTTTGTCCGGACGATGAGTCGTTATTAATAAGTCATAAATTCGGTAGCAAAGTCGTCGAATTCACAAGATTCCTGGCAGAATGTGATAAGCACCCTCAAAGTTTTTATTGCCCTGGAGCACATTATTCTGTCATAACAAGCTGGAAGTAGGGGGCAACATTTTATGGGAGTGCGGTGTGAGTTAGATAACGACGAATAATGTTGTGTGATTTATTATTATGTTAAATGCGTGATAAAGCTGTTTAACTTTGCTACTAGTACCTTAGGTTTGATGTATAGCCTACAGCATGTGAATAATGTGAGAGATTTTCCTACCTGCCGTGACCTGAGCATTTGTTTACGTCGCATTCACGTTACGTGTCGAGTTCGGTGCAGCACACTGGGGTCTCTTGAGCAGAAAATAAGGAGGAGAAAAGTGGGGTATCTTGATACTCATCGGTCGTTAGGGTTCACCATTTCCACATAATGATTTGTGTTTTGTACTGGCACCTTTTTGATTAGAATTCATATAAAATATCAACTGTCAAACCTGCACAAAATGCATTATAGTATATGCTGTTTATAAATAGTGTCACCGACTTCAAAACGATTTCCTTTGTTGTAGGGCCTATTGTGTGGTAGATTCTAACGGTGATTATTAAAGTGGATTAAGGACATTAGAAAATAGTTCAACAGATTACCTGAAATACTTCACCTAAAGTAACTTTCTAAAAGTGAACCACAGGTCAGAAACAAGAAAAGAAAACATCATCAGTTATGTTGTGCAGTTTTATCTTACAATCCCTGCAAGCACAGCACGTTTTATCGCGTTACTTTAACTTTTTGGGGGTTATAAAGACAATACGGTAACTTTTTGATAACGTTTTGAGTTTGCTGGGGCAATAGTTTCTTCAAACAACAGAAATACTCAACAATTATTTAAATTCCGTATTGCCCCTTTTCCCGAAAAAAGTGCCTTGTAAAACACTGACATTTTGGAGTGGAGGTAACTTTGACTTTAACTGATGTTTGAAAAGCAGTTAAAGTAAAGATTCTTTTGAACAGACATAGGAGAATCATCCCATTTCAAAGTCTTAAACGTTTGCGGACGTCACCTTACTCGACTGTGAAAAAAAAAAACGTTAAAAATGTGGGAGTGGCTCGCGCAAAGGTTAAAATTATCACAACACTGGATCTTTACATGCCGACTGCGATTTAAAAAAAATCAAAACAGCAACCCGCAGCAATAATACATTTTGCATTAGGTTACATGTATGAGAATGAATGTAAACAACTTCAAAGTACCTTGCTTTTATATCTTAGCTGTGATTTGAAAAATTAGAGTACCTACCCGCAGCGACGTTCATTATGCATAACATCACACCTAATGGTTTTAAATCAAAATGTGACATTTATTTCATACATTTTGTAGTGAAGATACATACACTAATGTTTAGTGTCCAAATTGCCAGAATGGAGTTGTACATTCAATTTTATAGAATAAGAAATATATCTTTGAAAATTATTTCACCAAGCTATGGAAACTCCCCTCCTATCCCTTTTTTTACTAGAATGACTGGACAAAACTGGCGATTATCTTAATATATGACATGGCACTCAGCAGACGACAAGCGAACAGCGTCCGGGTTTTACCTGTCTAAATACGGCATCGTCGTCATCATCTTCGTCTTAGTCACCGGCCGGTCAGTCATGTTAAGTAAACAATTTGACATAAAGAAATAGATCGAAAACGAAAACCATAAACCGAAATACCGTATAACTTGTGATAAACCATCTTGGAATGTTTGGTTGTTTGATAACGTGTCTGTGCTCTGAGTGGTTCATAAATAGTACAGTCATGTTCGAATTAAAAACAATTTCGATGTATTTGTTACGCGTTCGTGCCTAGAAATACAGATAAATCTTTAAAAGACTACTTTAGTATTAAAATATAGCAATAAAAACTTAACAAGGCATGTTACCATTGGCACGTAAGGTTGTTTATCAAGTTTTTTCCTCTTACAATTATTTGCCGATTTATCACTGTCTATCGGTTGAGTTGGTGACCTTGGTTGGCTCAAAAGAGAAAAGAAACACATACCATGTAAATAGATCCAAATGCTAAATTTGTTATTCGACGACCTCGTTGATCAATGCAGCAGTTTGTAAAGTGTTTTTTAAACACGGTAACATAAGTAATACGACATGACGCAATTACATTAATCAAATTACAATAATATTCAACATTCAAATCACATGATCATAGTTTGGAGAAATATTTGAAGTTCTGAGGTTGCCTATACACGACAGGCGTTGTCACACTGAATTTTTTATTATTGGTCAGCTGCTTGCATGTCCTGAAAGTTGACCTAAATGTTCACAAGTAGGAATACATTTGTCGCAGCTCGTGCAACTCCACCCGTCTGTGTATATTTAACATTATTACTGTGAACTCTATCGCACCTGCACAGTTATAGCAGTCACACTTCGTTCATGTGTGCTGTCTTATTATCTGTATCATTTCCCTGAATCATTTTAGAATATATTTGAAGAAAGAGGAGGGAACAAAATTAAGAAATGCAAATATGTACAGGTCATCAAATATTCTGTCTGATTAGTTGTGATGTGCTCATATCTCCCTTTCATTTTAGGAACTCCGTAAAGTCGGGGCCAATATTTGGAGCTTAATTTTAATTTGTACAAATTGTCTCATATCTAAACCAGTTTATGCAAACCATTTTCTTTTACATCTTTGTCATTTCACAGGCTATTATTTTGCATACTGTACACGTAGCAAACACTAGGTTTTTATTTAAACATCTTTTGGAGAATTTCAATAATTCATGATAGATAAACGTCAGTTTCTACATGTGCTATGATCCCCATTCTATTACAAGTAACCAAGCACTGGTGCTGGCCAGGGAAGTAATGGAATTGTCTTATTAGGTGTGTGCCCGACGTGCTTAAATTACGAGCTCTTATTCATGTTGCTGCGAGATTTACGGTGGGCCATTTTTCATTAGTGTGTAGACGTTATTTGACGGCTCAGTGATAGAAATGTATCCTTATTTTCTTATGTGCGTGTGTGTATTTACAGACATCATGGTTTCCCGCTATTTTGTATTTTCCTCACTGACATTAAACGTCTTAATCAAACAAAATAGCTGTCGCTTGGTGTCGTGAGTTAGGTTGGTTATTCGTCCAATGTATGTCATCGTTGTGACCGAGCTTTTTCATTTCATGAAATACCATAAAAATATCACTGATATAAAAAATGAACATTATAAAGCGTTGGCAATAATCCAAAGTGTCGACGATAAGCCATTTTTACGACGGTCGTGGTTAGATGACTAATTTGGTGGCAGGGGCTTTAGGCCAGACTTGTATGCGTGTTTATGTCAGGAATATTATAATAAATGGTTCTAAGTTCTTCCGCAGCAGAATGTGACACCCTTTTAAGTAATCGCTTTTGGCTATAATAAGATTCTATTTTTGATACGTGCACCTTTAAAACAGGTGGACTTTCCTTGTTGTGGCCGTATCCCTAATGTGTGATTGGCCAGTTTGCACCTGTATTGATTGTCCATGTTCTGCTAAGTAAGGATGAGCAATTTCCCTTTGGTTGGACAGCTACATGTATGCCCCTTACTCCTTGGCCATTGTTTTTCATTCACTATAAAAGCGCCACCAGAGTATTTAATTCAGCTGATGATACACAATACAGTAAATCTGAAACTGAATATTTCAAGTCCTAGTACAAATGAGACAAACTATATCAGGAAAAAATTAAACAAAAGTGAATTGACGGTTTCATGCAAATTACCACCGAAAAGTTATATTGGATATTTTGTATTACATCCTGATTTCTGAAATTTAAGACCACAATTTTGGTTTAATGTGACCCAATATACAACAGCAGTAGTCAAGTAAACGAAAAACGTACATTTAGTACTGGAAAGATGAAAGTCCTCAAGACCAGTATGCATTGAACAACGCAACATTACCGGTATATTGTATTTATTACAGAAGCAATGCATTTCAAAGCACTTATATTTCAATCAAAATAATTACAGCCATCAACTAGACAGTAAAGAAAAATGATGGGAGAGGATCTCTTTTGACTTGATTGATATGATGTACTGATCATTATGTCGTTTGCAAAGAAAATGAGCCTACTGGCCAGCAACTGATGGGGGTAAATATTTCACAAATCGTTATGGAAAAAAGAACTTTGTTTGATAAACTCTCATCCATTGTTTCTGTAGGGCCTTATTACGGCCATTTACGCTATTTAACCTTACAACATATGCAAGGAGCTTATCGGTTCGATGTAATTTGATCCAATCTGTGAGGGGATTATCAGTAAGATTAACAAGATTATCGTAATTAACGATGATCAGTTCATTTTGCGACTGAGCACCTGCCAACCCGTGTAAAGAATTTAATCTACGCGAGTAAGGTGACCTGTGACAGGTGACATGCGACACATTTGGCACCGAAAGCCGTCCGTCAAAGATGTCATCCAGGTTGCATTAGATTATACTTGTCTTTTATACTTGTCTTGATTATCCTTGTCTATGGAATCGAATATAGAAAAAGCATCTAGTCAGTCGTACTAGTAGGCCTATATTGCTTAAGGAATGAATTTGAAGTGCCATTTTTTAGTTCTTAATCACCATCGCTTTAATGAATATCATTTTATTTAATTCGAAACTTAAGTATTATCCCATGAGAACTTATGAGCGTGCGTTTCAAGAATTATTTTGTCTTCTCTTAGCTTCATTCAGTCGAACAGTTTTCGTGTGAAAATGCAATTTCTCAGCAGGCGATAGTATTGCCATTACTTTACAATGATGTAACGTGCACTCGAACATTAACACAGGAATCATGCGTATCTGATAAGAAAGTAGTGAGATGTAAGACAAGAAAAAACCCGCAGGCTGTCTATATAAATGTTTTAGGTCCCATTAAGCAAAGATAGATGTATAAGCAAATGCTTCACGGTAAAAAACATAGCGGTAGTACGTCTATATATTGACTTAAAACATGAGGATCAGTATTTAGGGGCCACCTCTATAGTTTAGAATAGGCGTGCATCAATGAAAATCTTGTTCTGTTAGTTACTTTGGGCACACTTGTTAATGAAATGAATGAAGGTAATGCTGATTTTGATAATAAGACAGAAAATATTTCAAACTGATAAAAAATACGGGTTTACGAATCGGAAAAATATAAAATTTCTCGGTTTTCCTACCGTGCACCGAGACTACAATAACCATAATAAATATATTAAAACAATGGGTAGTGCATTGACATGGATGTCTATTTTCTGGACGTTCCCTGTGGTTAATTATAGAATGACCAGTGTGTCTGACCAATGGCCCAGATCACTGGCCATATCGGTGGACAGACAAAAGGGCTTGGCTCTTGACCTTCATTCACTCAGGTACTGCTATATAATGTGTCTATACACACTGTGACACTCGTGTATCACACTTCACTTCTGTATTCACCGATTACCTGATAACATATGGTAATACACGATAACGTATGAGTTGGATAGGATATCTTATATCAAAATTGCCGTGTGGGGTTAGGGGCGGGTTTAATAATTCATCTTATTCAGTGATGTCGTTTATTGCATCTGCTTATTCGCTGACATAGGTAATGTGGGTACACAAATAATACATTATTGACATTGTGTTGTTTCACGTCATAGCCAGTCATACATGACTCTGTACTTGACCAACGTCGCCTTTAAACTGATTCAACATATTTACCTATCGTATTACACGTGTTGCAGTGTGTGGTTGACATGGGGTAACGTTAAGCCCCAACAGGAGTCAAGTATATGTCATTACCATTAACTCTGAAAAGGGGTCGTACCGGTAGTCACACATCAGGGATAACTCGGATACGATTAAGTCTATATCACCTCACTGAACGACCCATTTATTTGGTTCCCTGCCTCAGATTTTTTAAGTTGTACAAGTCGTTTAGTCTTCAAAAAATTAAATAGAGTTCCAATGATTATAACAAATCAAATTTTAAAATGCCATACTAACATTTTAATGCCCATTTAGCAATCATGTCTGCCTGTCACTGTTTCTGTTTTGGTTCAGAATATTCTAAGGTACAGTTAGCTGAAATGATTTGGACACAATCCGTCGTGTACATTGAAGCCTAGTGCAAGGGCACCTGTATAGTCCGCATACCAGAGATATTCTATGTTATCTAACGAACGATAATAGCTTATATAAGGTCGTCCGTGTTTATGTAGCAATTGATGTGAGGTATGCAACAATTGAAAACTACTCGGCCACGCAAGGCAGAAGTAAGCCTGTATGCCCCGGTGTGTAATAATAATAATAATAATAATAATAGTAATACTAATAATAATAATGGAAAGAAACCAAATGTAACGTGTATGTTTCAATAACGTCCAAAGACTCACTATTTTACATACGCTAAATATATGTTACTTGTAAAACAATAGGATGATTGGCTTAGCACAACGATTTAAGTTTTTCTATTTTCCTTTCATTTTAGTAATTGTAAATTATTCTTTAAGTACAATGTATATTTTTAATATGACATAGTACGCTATATCAGGTACTGTATTTTAAGTTGAATAGTGCATATAACTGTTAAGTGCATTGGAGTGTATATACCTGGTAGTAGTATATAGTGTAGTATTCTTCTTATCATCAAGTCAGTTTACAAGCAATTAAGATGGCAACAGTAACTCCGGTAAATTGGCATATCACTTTCCAGTTAGAGACTACGGAATCAAATTCTATGCAAGTCCTTTTCAAAGATATTCAGTATGGCAGAGAGAGAGAGAGAGAGAGAGAGAGAGAGAGAACGATTGGAATGAGAAAAAATTACGCCCTCGAGATTCTTCTTACAGTTTTAAATGTTCACCACAATCCATAAGTCACACTAATCCATTCATGAAATGAGGAGAGAACAAATGTTTTGTTTCGATGAAGAACATACATGTGCCCCCAGAATTCTTAGCATAATGCATTTTACAGCAATTGCCAACATCCAACTTTCCTGATGTGGTACATCTCAAGCTTTTTTCTTTAAATATTATAGTCACTATTATCCTTCAATCATTCGGCCTGGAGTAATGTTACAGGCTGGTAATCTTGACACCAACATTAGTGTACCCCATTGTAATCTCGCGCATTCACGTCACGTCCGAGATAAGGTCATCTAAGCACCATCAATTAATAGTCAGTGACAGTGTAGTGTGGATTCAACATGTCGACCAGGGGCATGTTTCCGTAAATTCTTTCAAGTAAGGGGATTATTAGGGGGATTAATGAATTGAGTAAGATTTTAGAGGCTTTTCCTTTTGTATGCACACTTACTTTCATTGCCAGGTTCTTAGTTTGGCAACCAAATATCTGAACTTCCTATATAACATTCCTTGAGATAATTGAAACATGATTTTTTTTACCTTTCAAGTGATTACTATTTGTGAAACCTTCTACAAGCTTTCTTTGTCAGTTTTCTCTAACATCTGCTTAAAGTTACATTAATAATTTCTTCAAACAGCCACTCAACTAAGTGTTATTCCCATGACAATATTTCATTGTTTAACAAGACGCCGTCATCACTGAATGACGGTGCAGGTGTTATAGTAGTCTCTACCTGAGGAGTGCAGGAGTGGGGCTAACTCTATTTCCCAGAAGAATTTATTTCTGTTACTTATAGAGAGCATAACATAGCTAATGAAAGGCTTTGCGGTTCCCCCCGATAGCATTTTGCTATGCTTTTTTCATTTACCTGTGACGTTATCCATTTGATCTAAATGTTTTATTGTTGAGCTTAATCTTTATAATTGAAATCCATTAAATCAGAGATGTTGACCCAGATACTGGCAGTTGATATGTCGATGCAGGTTGACACAGTAGTGAAGAATGAAACAGTCATTATACTATTGGATTAGGTTTTGCTTCTTGCGCTTAACTCTGGATTGCAACCGCGGTGTGATCAAAACACGGCGGGTCCAAAAGTTCATCGCAATTGAAAATAGCATTTACTATGTTCGTCTAGCATTTCGTCAACTTTTCTTTTTGTGAAAAAATTCATGAAACGATGTGGATCATAGGGACGTGCAGGAATATTGTAGGAATTCAGATGAGCAGAAATTTAAAGTAGGGGTATGATTGACATAAAGCGATGGAAGCCATGCTCATATCGTTCAGATATTGTTAATCTGATGTTTATTTTACTTTTTAATTAATTGATTAGTTTATCATTTTGTCAAATATGAAACAGGGCCTCTCGGTTTACTCAGGCCATGGTAAACTACAATAAACCCACATTTAGCGAACATTTCATTAATCGGAAATACGAGTTACCCCCTTTTCAACTCCAAAATGATCATTATTTTACTTTTATTTTCAGGATATTGAAAATGCTAGCCAGATGGACGTCGAAGAGCTCAAGAGGCGCAAACTTGAGCAACTCTACATTTTCCGCAAATTCGAGCGCCGTAAGGGGGACAACAGTGAGACAGCCTCCGTAATAAGTTCATTACCGGAAGAGTACCATGAAGACTCGCACAGCAGCCAGCAGTTGGTGGGAGATAACTTTACCCGTGAGAAACCTGTGCCAAAACAGCGCGGCAGAAGAGGTGAGAAAAAGGGCAAGGCCATCGCCGCCATCAACAATGCCAATCAAGATCAGGAAAAAGAAAATAATTACGTCCGCTCTGACATCAGGCAACAGCTTGATGATATCGGAGCCGAACTAGACGAGGCAGTTGATACAGAGTCCCTACAGGAGTTCGACCAAGAACCACGTCGCAAGAAACCAGCTCCGGTAGAACGCCGAATCAAAGCCAAAAAACAGGACCGCCTTGCGCCCGCAGAGACCCAAGATAATGCTCGGGCGAGCACACTGTCAGACGATGTGTTCATTGGTGCCCGGAACGACCAAAACATAGATAAAACAAACGAGAATTTCCAAAATCTCTTCATGGACCAGTTCCAGAAAGAACGCGAGGGTGAGGCTTATTACCCCGGGGAACTAAGCAGTGGTGAGGTCCGGCAAAAAGGGCGTAATGCACAGAGAGAGCGGGATCAACAACATGCACAGCAAACGGTCTCTCCATATGAGGATATTGATGACACAAACTTTGAGCAAGAGCCCAGGAGACGTGTGCCAAGAAGTGACGCCAGCGAGCAAGGAGCAGCGCTAAATCACCATGGTAACAGTGGTGTCACAAACTTTGATCAGGAACCAAGAAGAATTGGTCCACTTGGTAGCCAAGACGGCGATCAAGGAAAAGACCAGGAAAACGACCAGCTCACTAATTTCCCTATCTATTCACAGCCAGATAAGTCGAAGAAAAAGAAAAACAGAACCGGTGAAGGAGACGTAAATTCGGCAAACGAGTTAACAGAAAACGCTCAGAATCGAAAACCAGGAGGAAGGGACCGCGTGACCAACGGTCGTCCTCATGACGACCACCACCCAGAAGCAGAAAATCCATATGAAGAGATTGGACAACTTACGGATAAAATCCACGGACAATTGTATGATGAACACGGCCAACCTGTTGAACAGCTAGGTCAACAATTATATGATGAGGATGGCCGCATTGTTGTTCAACCTAATAATCAACCCTACTATGATGAGTATGGTCGACTTGTTGGGCGAGCTAGGGAGCAGTGTTATGACGAAAATGGTCGGCCAATTACAAAGGTTGGCGAACAATTTTACGATGAAAATGGTCGTCTTACAGACCAATCTAAGCAGCTGTACGACCAGCACGGCCGACCTATTGCCCAGCCTGGGCAGCAGTTTTATGATGACAACGGTCGCCCAGTTACCGCCAATGGTCAACTACATTATGATGAACATGGACGCCTAACTGGCCAGTCCAATATACAACTATACGACCAATATGGTGAGCCAGTAATTTTTTCAGACGAACCGCAGGACCACCAGCAAGGCCAGCCAGCTGTTGAATCTCGACTGCAGTTGTTTGACAAACATGGTCGTCCTGTGGAGCCCACCGGTGATCTGCATTACGATGAACACGGCAGCCTTGTTGACCAGTCTAACCAACCATTATTCGATCAACATGGCCGACCCATTATGCGAGCAATAGAAATATCCAGTGAAGATCAGTATGGCCGAGCTGATAAACTACCTGCTCAACTATTATATAACGAACAAGGTTTCCCTGCTCAGCCCATGGGTACACTTACTTTTGATGAACAGGGGCAGCTGATTGATAAAGATAACAAGAAGTTATGCGACCAACATGGGCAGCCTATCACACAGTTTTATGACGGAAACGGTTGTCCCGTCGAGCCAGGTAATGAGCTGCATTTTGATGAAAATGGCCATCTTGTTAATGACACCAACAACCAACTCCACGATCAATATGGTCAGCCCATAGTTCAGAGTGCACAACAGTTATACGACGAAGGCAGTCACCCAGTGAACCCGATGGGTCAGCTAAGATACGATGAACATGGTCGCCTTGTTGACCACACAAACAACCAAGTCTACGACCAGCAAGGTTGTCCTATTGTACAGTACGCTCAACATTTATGCGACGAGTATGGCAATCCGATTGAGCACACGGGAGAGCTGCACTTCGATGAACACGGCCGTCTGGTGGACCAATTTAACAATCAGCTTTATGACCAACAAGGTGGTCCAATCAACCAGTCTGCACTTCAGTTATATAATGAGCTTGGGAATCCAGTTGATCTCGCAGAAGAACTGCACTACGATAAACAAGGTCATCTTGTTGACTCCTCCAACAACCAACTGTACGATCAAAACGGCAGAGCTATCGCAAAGGTGTATGACCAAAATGGCCGCGCAGTTAAGTCCACTGGGCAGCTACATTTTGATGAACGTGGTCGCCTTGTGAACCAATCCAATAAGCAACTCTTCGACCAAGATGGAATACCATTTGTACAGGCTGCACGGAAATTATATGACGGAGACGGCAATCCAATAGAAACCACGGGGCAACTACACTTTGATGGCCATGGTCGCCTAATTGACCCATCTGGCAAGCAACTCTATGACCAACTTGGCCAACCTATCTTACAGTATGGTCAGCAATTATGTGACGAGCAAGGGAATCCAGTTCAGGGTACGGGAGAGCTTCATTTTGATGAACACGGTCGCCTTGTTGACGAATCGAAACAGCAGGTCTACGATCAACATGGACGACCCGTAGCACATGTCATCACTGACCAGCAGTTGGACGAAGAAAGGCGACCAGTTGATCAATCCGGTCACCAATTGTATGGAAAACATGGTCAGCCACTAGAGCCAACATCGCTGCTACAGTATAATGAGCGTGGTTGCCTTGTTGACCAGTCCAACGAACCAGTTTATGACCAACATGGCCACCCTTTTGTACAGTATGGAGTACAACTACAAGATGAACATGGCAATCCAGTGGAGCAGACAGGGGAGCTACATTTTGACGAGCTCGGCAACCTAGTAGACCAATTCAACAGAAGACTATACGACCAAAATGGCCAGCCTATGAAAAAGATATTGGATGAAAACGGACGTCCAGTCAACCAAACGGGAAAGCTTCATATTGATGAACACGGCTGTCTTGTTGACCAATCAAACAAACCCCTCTACGACCAAAATGGCCGACCTATTTCACAGTTTAGCCAGCAACTATATGATGAACTTGGTCGCCAGGCTAAACCTAATGCAAAATTACATTACGATGATCATGGACGTCTAGTAGACCAATCCAACAATCAACTCTTTGATCAAAATGGTCAACCCATAGTGCATGTTCAGGAGCTTGGACAGCAGTTATATGACCAGAACGGCCACCCAGTTGAGTCCAATACACAGTTACATTACGATAATCATGGTTGCCTTGTTGACCAATCCAACAAACAGATTTATGATCAACATGGCCGCCCTTTTGTACAGTATGGAACACAACTACAAGATGAACATGGCAATCCAGTGGAGCAGACAGGGGAGCTACATTTTGATGAGCGCGGAAACCTTGTAGACCAATCCAACAGAAAACTATACGACCAAAATGGTCAGCCTATGAAAAAGATATTGGATGAACACGGGCGTCCAGTCAAGCAAACGGATAAGCTGTATATTGATGAACACGGTTGTCTTGTTGACCAATCGAACAAACAGCTCTATGACCAAAGTGGCCGACCTATTTCACAGTTAAGCCAGCAACTTTATGACGAGCATGGTCGCCAGACTAAACCAAATGCAAAATTACATTACGATGATCATGGACGCCTCGTAGACCAATCCAACAATCAACTCTTCGATCAAAATGGTCAACCCATAGTGCACATTGATGAACAGGAACTTGACCGGCAATTATATGACCAGAATGGCCATCCAGTTAAGTCCAATACACAGTTACATTATGATAATCATGGTTGCCTTGTTGACCAATCCAACAAACAGATTTATGATCAACATGGCCGCCCTTTTGTACAGTATGGAACACAACTACAAGATGAACATGGCAATCCAGTGCAGCAGACAGGGGAGCTACATTTCGATGAGCACAGAAACCTTGTGGACCAATCCAACAGAAAACTATACGACCAAAATGGCCAGCCTATGAAAAAGATATTGGACAAACACGGGCGTCCAGTCAAGCAAACGGGAAAGCTTCATATTGATGAACACGGTTGTCTTGTTGACCAATCGAACAAGCAACTCTTCGACCAAAGTGGCCGACCTATTTCACAGTTTATCCAGCAACTATACGATGAGCATGGTCACCAGGCCAAGCCGACTGCAAAATTACATTACGATGATCATGGACGTCTTGTAGACCAATCCAACAACCAACTCTTCAATCACAAAGGTCAACCCATTGTGCACGTTCACAAACAGGAACTTGACCGGCAATTACATGACCAGAACGGTCATCCAGTTAAGTCCAATACACAGTTACATTACGATAATCATGGTTGCCTTGTTGACCAATCCAACAAACAGATTTATGATCAACATGGCCGCCCTTTTGTACAGTATGGAACACAACTACAAGATGAACATGGCAATCCAGTGGAGCAGACAGGGGAGCTACATTTCGATGAGCGCGGAAACCTTGTGGACCAATCCAACAGAAAACTATATGATCAAAATGGCCAGCCTATGAAAAAGATATTGGATGAACACGGGCGTCCAGTCAAGCAAACGGATAAGCTGTATATCGATGAACACGGTTGTCTTGTTGACCAATCAAACAAACAGCTTTACGACCAAAATGGTCAACCCATCACACAATCTAGTCAACAGTTATACGATGAAGATGGTCGCCAGGCCAAGCCAAATGCAAAGTTACGTTACGATGATAATGCACGACTCGTAGATCAACACAACAACCAACTCTTTGATCAAGATGGACTCCCTATAGTACATTCCAAAGAGGAGCAGCCTGTGCAGCAGGTGTTTGATGAGCATGGTCGCCCAGTTGATCAATCAAATAGGCAATCTAACGACCATCATGGTCGACCTCTTGCACAGACTTCTGACACACTAGGCAAACCCCAGATGAGGTCTAAGGGGGCACAGGGAGAAACTAACCGTGGTGAAATGTTCCTAGAGCAAATTAAGAAAGACGAACTCAGCCATAAGGCAAGGACGCCATACTCTCAAGAACAACAACATTGGAAACATGAAATACAAGAAACTGATATTGATGCAGAAGACGATGACGTGATAGAGACCAACATCGACGTGGAGATTGAAAGGCTGGAACAAGAACTTGGTCCACAGTATGATGGAACAAAGGCACATGACGTCAGTGTGTCATCAGACGAAGGAAGTACAGATTCAATCTTAATGGCTGGTGGAAAACCACGACAGAGAAGGAAACAACCACGAAAAGAACAAGGTGACAGCTCTACAGAACCTGACACAGACACAGATATAGATCACCTGTATCAAACTACAGACACAGACACCGATATTGAGGCTCTTTTGTTGGACCATCTTAAAGAGAGAGCAGGAGAAAAAAAGCTACGGAAGAAGTCCGACAGGTCAAGGAGTAGAGAAAATTTGCAAGAAGCCGATGTGAGTGCCATGTTTCTTGATCAGATTAAAAAGAACCAGGCTGGAGATCGCCGAGGCACTGAAGAACATAGAGCCCCCATCGGTCAGATTACAGAGACAGACATTGATGATGAGCCGCCCACGCCAACACCTGCTGCCATGGAAGCTGATTTTGATGCTGACAATGACGTTTCCTTAAAACAATTAGTTGAATCAGCTATCAGAAAGCACGGTGATGAATTTGAAGACCATGACGAAACAATGGTGGAGAAGTCTCCCCAGGATGTGTCTACTAAAAGTGTTTTTCAAAAAATCTCAATATTTGAACGTGAACAGGCAAAACTTACTCCTGACCACAAGTTGACGCCACAGCAACGACAGTTGATGGAAACAGAGTTTGGCATAGACCAGAGCCCCAGCACCATACCTACACCGGTGAAACCGCCTGGTTTTAAGAGTAAAATACCGACTAAAGGCAACCAACAAAGTGTAGAAGGCATATTTATGGAGCAGGTCCAGAAAGACGAAGCCTCCCGGAAACAGACCGCTGCAGGGAAAAGTCCCAGTAAAATTCCTGTCAGGGCACAGACATCTTCCAACAGTGGTGCTGATCAGGAAGGAGAAGAGCAGCCAGTGACCAATCTTGACAAGGCGTCAGGAGATGTGGTCCCAGGAGCAAAGGGCAGAAGCAAGATTGCTGCCTTGAGAGAGCAGTTCCTCCGGGGAGAGACTCAGGAACCCGATAAAGATGATGATAATGATGATATTGAAGATTTAGAGTATGAACCCAGAGTTAGACGCCCTGCACCAAAACAAACAGCAAAGGCAGCGAATGAGAAAACTCCCCAAGCGGCACGGAATCAGGAGCAAAAGAAAGGAGAGAAACCTTCAATCCAAACCGAAGGAAACTTAGTAGGAGAGATGTTCCTTGGCGAATATATGAAAAGCAAGGCCGAAGAGGAATCTAAATATAAACCAAAGAGTCCAAAGAGTGTCCGATTCTCAGAAAAGGATGAATACAAAAGTGAAACGTCAGAGGCTGAATCGGAGTCTACAGTTACTGGCAGAGACGATGATTCTGTCATGTCTGACCACGAAAACGAATTCAGGGCTGAAATGTTGGGTCTCAATAAAGACACAGAGCAATACGTGAAGCAGTATGGAATCGATGTTTCTACAGGGCGTGTTACTCCTCAAGGTAAAACGGACATTCCCTCATTCTATGGGGTCCCCATCTCAGAAAAAGATCCGGAGAAAAGCTCAATGAACAAAGAAAAAAAGGACAAAAAGGGAGGTGAGATCCGTAAGGCACCAGTAAAAGATGACTCTGGAAAGTTCGTCGCTGAAACTGAAGATCAACAGTCGTCAGATGGTGACCTGTCATTTGAAAGCTTAGAGCGTGAGCCACGAAGATTCGGCCATTCACAACAAGGAGAAATTACAGATATTCCAGGCAATAAAAGTCCGAAATTAACACCTAGCAAAGGAAGACAGGCTAGCAAAAGTCCAACTTTTGAATCCGAGTTAATTGCAAAAATGATCCGCGAAGATGCAGAGAAATCACACCAATATGCAAAACACGGAACAGTTTCAACTACACAGACGAAAGAGGGCATTTCTTACACGTTTACCTCAACAGAGACCCATTTTGATGTCAGGGAAGAGTATACCGAAGATTATGCTGAAACGCCGACTGAATATGAAAAGGTGAAAGATATGAAACCAGACCCTGAAACTGAATTTCCTGAAACTTACACCACAGAGTCCCTTCTTAAAGGTACAAGAGCCCCAGTACCAGCTGACCGTGTATTTAAGGTGCACAGAGCAGGAGAGCGAAAAGCCAAAGAATTTACAGCTGAACAGATAACAGCACAGAGAAAGACCATTTCAACCACCAGTACTATTCAAAGTACATCTACACTAGGTGGCGGTTATGATCTTCAGGAAGAGTCGGTGGTTCTGAAAGTACCAACCAAAGGGACGCAAAATGATCAGTTGCGATTGCAAGGGGATTTTGAGAAAGGTGATCAGAGCGACCAAGATGAAAGTGTGTCGGAAGACAGTTCACGCTCTTACGATCGCGATGTCTACAACCGCGTGAGACAAAATGTCCCGAGAGCGTTTGGCATCAGGAAGAGGTCGCTGCGTAGCAATGGTAGTGCTGACAACTTATCAGAATCTCCCGTTCCAGATCAGTTATCAAACGGCGAAGAAAAGAAAACAATCACAGGTAGTCAGGAATTTGCCAAGGTATTCGGGGTACGTAGCCCAGAAGAATTTGTGAATGAAATCCTAACCACGGAGGGAAAGCTTAACTCCACTGGCAATACTCCAGATATTGAACGACGAGTCATATATACCACACCCCACTTCGCAGAGGCGAAAAGAGAAGGGAGCGCTTCAAGCGCAGACTCCCTTGGCGGAAAAGCTGGGGATGGATTTGTAGTGCAAGACTCAACCCAGCCAAAGGGACGATCAACAACAGTATACGCTCAAATCCAAAAGCCAAAGAAATCGCAGCAGCAGGTGACAACAATCGAATTCCCTGAAGAACTTACAGTTCCACCGCCAGTAGAGACCAGCACCCCAACGCTGACACCAACGCAAAAGAGAAGACTGAAAAGCGAAGACATCATGGCCGCTCAACGGGAGCTTGAGAGACGCCAAAAAGAAGAAGAGGACGCTTTATATAGAAGATTTTTGGAAAGACAAGAAAAAGAAATGGAGAAGCTACACCAGTCTATGACATCAGAAAAAGAGAAGAGAATAAAAGACATGATGAACAAGGTTGCCACCAGCAGATCCAAGTTAATTGCACAAGACACAGAACAAGCAGCCGGGCCATCTAGAAGAAAGTCGTCAGAGCCAGAACGCCCTGGTCAAAGAGACAGCGACGCCATGTCTGTTAGCACGATGGCCAGCAGCGTGTTTGAAGACCCTGCGAAAAAGAAATCGAAAAAAGATCTGAAAAAAGAGCAGAAAGAGAAAGAAAAGGCGGAGAAGAAAGCGGCAAAAGAGGCAAAGGAAGCTAAAAGGAAAGAAGATAAGAAAAAGAAAGGAAAGAAAGGAAAACCGTCAGAGGAGGACGCTGCCGAGGAAGGCGACGACGAGCTCGTGGAACCGCCGCGTGTTCGAAGACCACGTGAAATGCGTGATTCGGACACGACAAGTATTGCGTCTTCAACCGCCGGGCGCCCTGCTCGTAGCACAAGTACGCCACTTCCACGAGGCGAGCAGCAGCGGGCGGGTGAGTCGACCCATTTGGCGGATCTAAGCCTCGAGATGATGGACGATCCCGAACTGCAGCGTCTCATGGGTGAAGAGAGGCGAAAGCTGGAGGAGTCGTACGCCAAAGAGATGAAAGCTCGAAGGAGGCAGCTCATTGAAGATTTGGCTCAGGGTGAGCAACGAGAAGTGGCCGACTTGGTAGAAAAACACACCAGACAGATGCTTATGTTAAGGCACCAGAGGGTAAGTAGTTCTGCTGTGAAATAAGAAGTAATATTCAGTTATTTTTAACATTAAGGCCATTTCTAAACCACGGCTCTATTTGGTTAAAATGATATTCAACAACCTGCAATATTAAATCGTCATTAGTTATATTATACGATTTAACACATAAAGCAAATTGTGAATAAAAAGATTTTCCTTTTAATGTTGCTTATTACACACCTTTTTCCATTGATATATTGTAATCCCAGTGACTTACATATTAACATGCATTTCATTATCTAGGACCGTAAGGTGTACGATCGAGACACTACCACACTGACCAGAGAGTATGAACAAACCGTCAGACCACCCATTAAACCCCCCAGGAACAAGAAAGTTCACTTCTGTGAAAATCCGACTGTTATCTTCATGGAGTTGGACGAACACGTCATAAAGGTAATTTATGCACACCGGTAAGCATTCCCACATTAAATGCATCAGTGTACATAAAAATAGCATGAATAAGTCGCACCAATAATAAAACATTGTCGTATCACTATGCATAGGCTGTAGTCAAAGTATCAATATTACAGAAGATGTACATAGTCTTTGCTTTTTTTCGCCAGGTGGCGCACATGGAGCCCCAACCGTCCAGTTTCACAGACTTGGTTCGTGAACTGACTGAGGGCTGCAAGAACGAAATGGAGAAAGTCAGGTAGTTTTTTTATATGTTCAGCAAATGTTCGTTATCACTTGAAAAAAATTATTATACATGATATGTCAACGTATATCGTAAGCAGTAACGAATTCAATTCGTGATGAGAAAAAGATATTCGCACATTCATATTGTGTAGTCACTTATAATCTAGACATCTCTTGGGGTTTCATTTGTATTCTTGAGTTAAAAAAAAAAAAGCCCATCGCATATTATTCAATGCCTGTTTAAAACGTTTTATTTATTCGTGTTCAGAGCCATATTCCGTTGGATCACCATCAAAAATTTGAACCAGATGGAATTCGAAGATGTCGATCCCGACACGCCCTTAGGATTGCTGAGAGGTATCAAGCTAGGACGAGAGAGCTACCACGTGCTCTTTAAAAGATTATGCGGGTAAGTTGTTTAAAAACATATAACCTAGAAATATATGTGGTTGCTAATGTTGTTTTTATTCATTCAAATTGTACAGCACCAAAGAAATATCTCACATGCAGCAAGGTTTCCCACTTTTTACAGTTATAATCTTCAGTGTAATGCGTTTAATTTAGCACCAATAATAATACTAGCGATTCTTTTGACATAACTGGGAACAATCTTCGTTAGAAAGGAAAATTTGAATACCAGATCTAGATATCTGAAAAGGAGGAATATTGAATAACAGATGTCTGAAAAGGTCTCTTTTTTCTTTCAGGTACGCTGGTCTTCACTGCGAAATTATCTACGGATTCTCCAAGGGTGAGGGATACAAGCCAGGAAAGCCGCTCACCAAACGATTTAGAAATGTATGGACAACGGCGCACGTGGATGGCTCGTGGCGTTTCATCAACTGCCACTGGGGGGCGCGGCGTAGTCATGGACAACGTAAGTCCACCATATTTGGAGATCTGAATGACCTTGAGCTTGAGTACAAATACGAGGAGACGTATTTCCTTACGGACCCCGAAGATCACATCCAGCAGCATTTCCCTGACGATCCTAAATGGCAACTTCTAGAATCTCCGCTGACCATGGAGGGCTTTGTCAAACTGCCAGTGAAGAAGACTCCATTCTTCAACCACGAATTAAGTTTTGTGGAAAAATATGACTCTGTTCTTACAACAAAAACCGGCGATCTCACAGTGTTGCTCAAATGCCCAAAGAAAGGGGTCAATTTTGCAGCAAAACTTGACTCGTACTATGGAACAGCGACCTTGACCGGTCAGGTAGATGTCAAGGTCAAAGGAAGCGAGGTCGTCTTGTCCATTGAAGTGCCCCTTCCTAACATCTGCTTCTTGCATATATTTACAAACGAAGAGAATGCGTGCTCATTCCAAATCCAGGCGTTTGAAATTCCAGCTTCATTCCAAAGACTGTACCCTGGCTGCCCTTATTTTGGGCTGACGCCAGATGGCGCTAAAATGGGCGTGGTTCCTTCTTCTCAAACTGAACCGTACCTCGTGAACAATTCAGGTGGTGACTTGGAAGTCAGACTATCGTTAACGGGAGCAAAGCGTATAAAACTAATGCACAGACTCCTTCGTGCCGACGATGAAAACAATGTGTATGAAAACTGTGATCGTTTTGCTTTGCAGCAGCGCCGTGGGGACAAAATCTCCTCCTTTTTAATACGAACATTCCGCCCAGACTTCTACATCTTCGAAATCAATGCCGCCCCGGAGGACGATCTCAGTCACGGCACCGTGGTTTACAGAGTCTTAGTTGAGTGCTCTGTCCCCTCCAGTGAGCCGGACCCGTTTCCAATTGCATTCCATCACTGGAACAAAGCCGGGCGCCTGCACCACCCAATGATGAGTGAGCTAGAACAAGGGAACAAGATACCGTTCAAAGTAGAGGTGCCATCTGCCCAGAAAGTCGCCGTAGTGGTCGGCAACGAGTGGAACCACCTAGCACAGACGGACGAGGAGAGGGGGATATTTGAAGGCACGGTGTACACAGGAGATAGACAGGGGAAACTGAAGGTTTACGGGAAAATTAGCAATAAGTTTCAGCCTATGCTGGAGTACAAAGTTAGACCGTACATAAGGTATTCCCGGGGGAAATGACATTGAGATGGGGGAACAGGTTAACCTGATAAGGGAATAGACACCCAGTTGTAAAGTGGCAATTGACATTACAGTACCCATAATGAATCAATGTTTGGGTTGTTTTATAGTGCACTCCAATGACTGATCAAATGATGGCGGGTGAAGTTCTTAATTTTTAAACATTATCCACTTTGAAAAAAATTCCGAAGTTAGTGTTCAAGCTACCCAGTAATGACAGCTAAGAACCAGGTTTAGAAATCGTTGGTTTTCCCATGGGCTGCTTCACTAAGAAGCAAGCGAGAGCTAATAGTTGGCACTTGCTTACATATGCTGAATATTCGGAAATTTCATAGTAAACAGAAGTCGCCAGTTTACGGTTCCGTCTTCGAACAGGCCAAGGTCACATCGCAAAATTTCTCAACATTTTCTCTGCCACCACCTGACAGGGCATGCAGTCCTGCGATGAATGATATAATAATGTATATAAGTAGTGTGGCTTATTGAAATATATTGTCATTGTCTAATAACGTAGATGTTGAGAGCGCTTTCATATGTATATACAGTAATATACATTATATAGTGTTAAGATTGTCTTACATTTTCTTATAACGCATTTATTTTCATATCTTCCAAATGGGACCATTAAAAAATTTAAATGACTGTTATATAGTACCATCCAATGCAAATTTCTATTTATAAATATCTGTATTGGTATATACAAATGAGTGGATATCGCAAATATTCTTAACTGTATGGGGTTGTGCATTTTTTGTTTTGGTGTCTGTATGCTGAACATATATTCGCCATTTAAATATTTGTTTGCAAATTTGGTGTATTAATTATCAAATAGTGCATTTTCTAACAATATCTGCATGTTATCTAGTGCACCGAGGGTCTCCTTGTTTAGCGTTTGAATTGTTTTTATAGTACATTTGTTTTTGTGTGTTATCTTATTTTGCCAAAATATTTGTATTTATGACCAAGTCATATTGTACGCTGTTGTTTTAGGCTAGACTGCTTTAGTTGACACGTTTTAGTAGTCATTTGTAGGGCCTTTTCCTGTAACAGATAGACTGAAACGCACGCACGCACGCACGCACCCACACATACACATTGCGTGCTGAAGATTTGAAAGAGAATTGCACACAAGGTTGAATTTTAACAGGTTAACACAAGCTTACATTGTGGTTGTGTATTTTAGAAGTTGTCATATGTTTGTACATATTATGCATATTCAGGTTGTGAAAAATAAAATTTATACAGATCCCTTTTACAAACAGTAAGGCAGCCAGTCTCAGAGGAGTTTCATTTAGTTGTATCTTGTTTCGTTTTCTGGGTTTGTCAGGAAGATATAGACATATTATAGATATAATTATTTTTACTTATTTGAGTGTTTTAAAGGTGCTACATGTATCTTTTTTTAGGCCGACATGTGATGTTTCACATGTTCACACACACAACCGCCTTATTTACACATGTGAAACTGTAAAAATGTATAAATTTGATTTCAGTTATAATTATTTTGCTTGAAATAATTAATCTATGTTCTGCCCTGTTTGATGGAATTTCATTCTTTACTTTACTTGTTTTTATTGCACCCTTCAAAAAGGTTGTGCACGTAGTTTTATGCAAAGAACTGAATAAACTGTTAAATACTGATTAAAATTGTTTTACTTTATTATTTAAAACAACTGAGAAAAATTAGAACAATAATATTATTATTATTTGAAGTGTAAAATTCTGTTTAACCTATATACATATCTTCCCTTGGTTTGAAATAGCATCGGCTACTCTCAGTTTGTGAGAACGACTTTGCAATGGCAAAGAAAAGATAATATAATATAAGGTACAACTACCACATTTTTTTAGCTGGAAGCGGAGCCAGTATGGCCAATGTTCTCTATTTACAGCACCCTTTAAAATGGCTATGCACCTCCATGGTTCATATATATTTTTGAAGAATTTTTAATATACCGATTAAAATTGTGCTCCATTCTTTCACTGAAAACAGAATATTAATATACTTTGGATATAAGGGCAATATTAACCATATTGATTGAAAGAGAGAAATACTTAATAAGCTACATATTTTCCCTTGATCCAAAATAGCTGGAAAACAGCATTGCCATCGCAAAGCAGGTTTTTTATTGGACAAAGGATAATTTTTAAAAACTAAAAGGGCCTCTTAAATAAGAAACGTAGAGTCAGGATGGCCGAGCGGTCCAAGGCGCTGCGTTCAGGTCGCAGTCCACTTCTGTGGGCGTGGGTTCGAATCCCACTCCTGACAATGTCTATATTTACAATTTTATCAATCGACATAAATATGTTCACTCATAGACAGATGTCACTGGCTTTTTACCAGTAAAATCTCTTCATGTGATTGATCGCGCAAAACAAACCCACCTCTCGCCCAAGTTGAAGGCATGACAGGCAGACACGAGCAAAATTGAACCTGAAAACCCATACCTAAAAAATATAGAAATCAATCATTTAATGATTATTTACAAATATTAAGTAAGATATAGTTTAGTTTATTAGAAAAATCAGTAAAACGGATAGCATGTAAATGAAAATACATGTAAATAAATACGAACACACATATGTTAAACACTCGTCCCTCATCCACCCATCCATGTTCGTTTTGGTCATTTCATTAGCCTACACTCTCATCAATCCCTAAACATCGATGAAAAATACTTAACCTCAAGAGAGACGAACCAAATAAAGTGCACACCAGTTACTTGATTAGGCCTACATGATTTATTTTACATGCATGTTTTTTTACTTATTTGATTGTTTTAAAGGTGCTAGATGTATCTCTTATTTTAAGCAGATACCCCAAAACAAAGGAATTCGTCCGTCCAATTTTTTTAACGGCAAAATGGCATCTCTTTTGAAACTATCGGTGTCAGGATGGCCGAGCGGTCCAAGGCGCTGCGTTCAGGTCGCAGTCCACACCCCTGGGCGTGGGTTCGAATCCCACTCCTGACAAGCCCTACCATCTTTTGACATTAGGCTACACTTCAGTACTCTTTTCGCCTGGGAAAATATTTCATTTGTGTTTTTGATGATATAACCAAATGTTAACGCAAAAATAAAGAGTATATTAAAATAATATTGTAGCTTTCCAGGTTGAATGCCCCCCCCCCCCCGGGTAATTTCCAACAGAACTTAAAAAATGATAGCTGCGTTTACCCTCTATTACATAAATTATTTATACATTAAAAAAGACAAAGATGCGATACATAAACTTATGAACATCACAGAACGAGTACATAATTATATGGACATAAATAAATAGGCACATATATATTCCCTCTTCTTTTGAATAAAATCCATGGTCACGCTGACTTGACGACTGACCCGCTCCCTCGCCTTACATGCTCTAATTCAACCCAAAGACTAGAAACCCATTTGAACAGTAATGTACTTTCTGATGAAAGAAATAATCTTCACCGCTGTATGACCCGCCGATTCTTAGGTTTAGCCAAGGATACACAGGGAAGCAGAGTTCATAAACAACGCTGGGATAAAATACATCAGGGGCGGATTTAGGCCGTCTTCTGGGTCTTCCGGAAGACGGTCAGATTTTCTAGTTTACATTGAAGGGTATCTAATTTTTTCTGTCGGAAGACGGTCAAAAATGGAAAATGGATAACCAAATATAATATGGAAGACTGTCAGGAAATATTTCTGGATCCGCCCCTGTACATGATATACATTATATTAATCTCTCGCCCCTCGCTTGGCACACTCTCACTCTCCGAGCAGGGGCTTGAGTAGATACAGAGTTCACACTGTTTCGGACTTGCCTTGTATGCTTTTCGGTGAAGATATTGTTCACCATGAAAACCTGGCTCCTTCTGATCGTAATATTAACGACGTTACGTGGTAAGTATTACGCTCAGTACTTGGTTTTCGGTATCTCTGGTTAATTAGGCTATATGTCAAAGGTATTTTCACAAAACGCTTGATGATGCTGAACGGTAGGTGAGGGAACATGGTGCATGATATCAACCTGTCTTCTTCGGGAACTATATCCCATTTAAGTCTGATAACGTTAGGGGATAACATCATGGCCTACAGTAGTATGTGCGACGCGGTGAGAAAGACTACAGTACATGTCCTTGATAACATACAAACCTTGGGGGGTTGCAGGTTTACTTTTATTTCCATTTCATTTTACGTGATTGTTATAATCATCACATCTATGCAAGTGAACCAAGCAAATTTCTTCGGATGCTATGGCATTCCTGTAGGCCTAAACCTGAAAAAAGACCTTGCTGCAAAAATAAACACCATCGTGCACGGAACACCAGTACAAGCGATAAAACAGAATTTAGATACAGACCTACTGATCCCTTGGGCACACCATAACATACATAATGGCAGTAATGGTTTATATGCATGTATTTAGGGTAACATGTACCTAGTGTGTGGCAGATGCCTGTAAGCGTATCATATATTAAACTCGATGACTGCAGTGACGAGCGAGTTACCTGGCAAAAACCTGCCCGAAATACAGAAGCAGCTGGCTTTTATAGCCGACCTTAGTTTACCTGTCAGTGGGTGAAATGTCAGCTATATTAGTATTTTCATTATTCTTTTCCCCTTTTTAAAAAGATCGAGGATCCCTTAAGTTTTACATGCCTGGTGAGTAGCACATTGATACTCATGTTGTGTTGATTAGCATGCAGTTTCAAAATATTTCGAGTCAAAAATCAGTAAGTAAATAAAATAATAATGGAAAATGTATGCCCAGAAATATTTGACTTTAAAAGATTCACAAAACTATAGTGCAGTTCAGCACTTGATTATGTTATGAATTATTTTACATTTATGCCGGTTTCAGTGTCCACAGCTGTTCTTTGCTATGAGTGCAGATCCCACTTCTCAATGGAGTGCGCTGACCCGTTCCAGCACGCGGGTACGCACCGCACAGAGTGCGACCGTGCCTGTGCTAAGATGAAGAAGGTCTCAAAACTTGCAGGTAAAAACGCACATATTGTACCGGCCAGTAGGCCTACATCACGTATATACACATGTAGGCAACAAGTGCAATTAACGCACTGAAACATACCTACGCGTACGCGCACACACAGGCACGCAAACACGCGACTCACCCTAAAATACCACCCTGAATGCGCACATTTTGAAACTGAAACCCTTTTTCCTTTTTTAAGAAATGCTTCAGAACACTAGCACTAAAAGTATACCATTTTTATCGCGCTTTTCTCTTTTGCGGTTATGTGCTCGACCCTCAAAAATGTATTTGGGTCAAGTTAAGCATCAGCCGAAACATTACCACTGGACCTTAAGTTGCTTAAAGTTCAACAACGGTATACAGTATGTGCTCTTGAATATAGTCATACAGGTACACATGTGCTTTATTTTGGAGTTAATCACAGAACGAGCGTTAGTGAACCATGTCATATTCCAGTATTTAGCGGGGCACGGTGCCTCGATTTTCGTATTCTACATATGTATCTTCATTCTTGGCATAAAACACGGAGTGGAAGGGAGATGCCTAGATGCACCAGTAGATCCAGTAGATGTTACTTAGGGAAGACAGATAATGAGGTCGGGTACTTGGCACTGAGAGAGAAAGGCAGGGGTAGAAAGCAGTTTTGCCTTCTCCCCTCACCATTCAACCAGCCCCAACAAAAACAAATTAATTCACGAAAAAAAGGATAAAGCCTATAAAAATCTGCTATGCTCGCGAAACATCATATGTTTTATAAATAATAATAAATTTCGTCTACCGACCCTATCTACAGAGAAAGAGCCGTTGTTCGTTAACCAACACATCAATTTTGTCTGACCTTACGGCACTTCTGTCTCATTTGAGAATTTTTATTATCTGTTTGTCAAAAAGAGCTGAAGAACTTATTTTCGAAAACAGGCAAATTCCCGCTGGTTAACTCCTCAGTTTCGGAAAACTCAGACCTTCGCCACGACAGCTCTACTCTCATTATCAATTAGTTCATTGACTTATGTGACTAGATTGTCGCAAAATCTAACCTTTTCTAAATAAGCACATTACTGACCTTTCCTGAAAATCTGACCAAAATCCGCCCTCAACTTTTTGAGTTACGTTTTTAACTAACAAAACCAACACAGGCAAAAAAAAAAAAAAAAAAAAAAAAAAAAAAAAACTGCAGCTGGCGGAGGCGTATTGAACAGTGGGCGTCTACAATGGTGTGTTGCAATCAAGTACCTCATTCACAAAGAGATCAAAGCTGAGGCCTTTATAAAACTAAGACAGATTATAAAGATGCTAACATCTCACAAGGCAATCAAGGCACCGCATACTTATTTACGGGAAGTAACAGAGAGGACCAAGTCTGGCACTTTGTATAGGGGTGCTAGTATCAATTTTGATGAAAATTCGTTCGTTTAATTATTAGACTTATTTATTCTATTTTCATACGTTAAAATACAAAATGGATAATGAAGCAATATAGAACACATTTAAGTTCCACTAATTCCATAAAGAGAAGAGTTCGATCTTCAGAGAAAAAAAAAGATTTTTGAATTATTTTGTTCATATTAGACTACAATTTCAACGACGCAAGTCACAAAAAAAAAACATTTTGTTTTAATCTTTCAGATGGCAGCGCAACAACAGTTCAAATCTGGCGTCAGTGCTACACACCAACCTTTCCAAAAGATGGCTGCATTGTGAAGACAGATAGTGAGGACGATTCTACTACCACTTTGTGCTCCTGTCACGAAAAGTTGTGTAACAATGCACCAAAACTGGCTACTGGCAGCGGTCGTCTGCTCTTCCTCATCAACAGTATAATGGCCGCCTACTGGACTTATTGTGAATTTTTATAGTGCGACCTATACGTGTAAAATACAGCAATACAGTATATCTTCTGTTCGGTGCATTTACTTACGGAGGTTTTGCCAGGGTTTACCTAGATAATGACCCGTATGATAAGTCAATGCAGATAGGATAGGACGCCTCCTGTCGGTCTGAAAGTTCAGTGGTCAGGGAGTTTATTGGTCTGCAACAGATTGAACAAGCTTGGTGTAAATGTCTCACTTGTCCTTACATATTTTCTTTGCTTTTGAAACAGGGAAACTATCCAGTTACCGACCAACGAGCTTTTAGACAAATTGAACTTCAGGCAACTGAACTGACGACATTTGCCCTGTCTCTGTGTCTGGCGAATGGCCGTCTATTTGACGTCACTCAGGTTTCAGATGGTTATGCAATCCCTTCTCGACGGGTTTTGAAAACTTACAGATGATTCACTGAACTACACATAGAAAGCGGAGGGAACGCCAGAGAAAAAAACTATTGTTTTACAGAACTCGTTCTATTTGATAAAAAATTGTATTGAAAATAGGCCTATCATTTCTGGTGAACGTTTTATCTATGTTAGTAATGTAACCGTTCATATGTTGTCACAGGTTATGTAAGATATGTGGATTTTTAAAATAAAATCATATCATCCAATACCTAAGTGGATCCTTTTGTCGGCTAATTTTAGGCATAATTATTTTAATTTTTTAACATTTCATTCAAATAAACTTCCAGTAACACTGAAGCATTTTATCCAAGACAAATAATTGATTACAAGACAGAGGAATGTTTGAGAAAAAAACGCTGTTCAACGCTCTCATATTTAACATCCGAAGGTTATAAATATAGCTTACAGACGGACTAGGCCTACCTGTATAGGGAAATAAATACTGCTTCGGTTGGTGAAATGCTTCAGTTGTCCCAAACGACACTTAGGCCTGCACATAGATATCTGTCACAACCCAGCACAAAGTTCTGCTCGCGATGCGTGGTTGCTCCAGCTGCTTTCTTGAGTCCCTCCCCTCTCTACCAGGGGCGGATCCGGGATAAATTGGAGGGGGGGGGGTGACCTTACCCCCCCCCCTTTTTTTTCATAGATATTAGGTCTCTTGTCAATAAATGTTTTTAACACATGCAAAATAATGAAAGTAACGTATATCTAGCTTACACAGAGCGTTTTAATAATAGGGTTATATATTGGTTAGACCATCAACATTATCCTAACGTTCTACACTGCCACTGTTATTATCATTGATCCGAGGAACGTTGCCAGCAAGTTCTATTTTAATACGTTATTAAAACGTAGGCCTATATACATTTTGATGAAATTTACAAATTATACATTTTTGTTTATTTTGGCAAAAACACATGAACATTTTTCATACTTTGCATCACTACAAGCCTGCGTCATGCGTTTTCTTAACTGCCAAGTGAGCATTCGGGAAGACAGCTCATGAATCATATCATATCATATCATATCATATCATTTTGAATTTCTCATTGTCTTATATATATATATATATATATATATATATATATATATATATAGGCCCTATATATATAGGGAGGCCTATCAGATTATCAACTTGTCTTTCATGTGGTCAGGCCCTTGATAAAAACGTCAAGGTTGTTATGAATGAGTACATGTTACAAGGACCGAATACAGTTTGGTGGGTTCAGTAGGCCCTATATATGACTACTGACAAAAAAAAAACGCTTGGTCTCTTTATTTATATTTTGTCGACTGACTTATTTAGGCCTACCAATCAGACAGTTAACAGGGGCTGATCCAGGATTATTATAAGGAGGGGGGGTGGAACGACGTACAGCTGACCATCGTCCCCTTGGTGTGGGGTTTGGGGCCTGCTCAAGGTCCCCGAAAATTTTTTGGTGTTCTGGAGAGCAAACAGTGCCCTTTGGTACGGTTTAGAACTATGATTTAGCTAGTCATAGGCTAATTCTAATTTCAAGAGGGGAATATTGGTGTGATAGGGTATTGATGTCGTTGGTGTGATATTGCAGAAACCGAAGGGGGAGGTCAGGACCCCCTCTAAATCCGCCACTGTCTACCATATATGCACTAAACTACTTTCATATGATTGATTTATATTTTGATTATTATTAGGCTATAACCGTGTGTGTGTGTTGGGGGGGGGGGGGGGGGTCAAAGCACAGTACACGTGCGTGTATTTGTACACCCTAAACGCGTTTGGTTGAAAAAAAAGTACAACATCATTTCTTTGAGACAGGCAAAATATTATCCCTAAACGCGTTATAAAATTTCCCTCCTTAAAAATCAAAGGAAAATCCATGTAACATTTATGTACCTGATTCATATTGTGTTACTCCTTTCACTTAATAAGTAGCCTACGTGTGCAGGACCTTTTCATGCCCCCCTCCCCCCCCCCCCCTCCTCCCCCTCACTTTCACCTGAGCAGACGGGGGCTGTCGAAAATCTAGTTTCTTAATTCACTGGAATGAAGGTCATAAGAAAAAAACTGTGCTGATCAATAAAAAATAACGCATGCGCTGAGAGAAGGTCACTTCAATGTCGTTTTATGAAGGTTAACAAAACGTTAAATAGGCTAGGCTCACCTAGCTAGGCTCCGCATTGTGCTTGTGCACATAACTCAGTCTGCGTCAGTGACAGAAGCTATTACTGTGCGTAGCTCGTGTCTTTAGCGTGAATATACGGTGCAAGATGCAGCTGTATCTCGTACTGATACTTCTGTTGTCCGCAACATGTGGTAAGCTAGTAGCTAAGCTTTTAGTGCCATTTGGTGTCTTTTAATTGGATGTAATTAAAATTTTCTTTGTCATTTTGATTTAAAATAGCAGAACTGTGTCAAGATACATAGTATTAAGTTGCTTCTTAGCGGTGACCTATTTAATGTAACGTTACGTGAAATGGGAGCTGCTAATTAGCTTCTAGTTGTATGAACAGCATTCTAAGACTTTCTGAAATTTCTGTCGGTGTCACGGTTGATACTCTTTTAGCATACTGGAATGGATATTGATCTGAATACTTATATTTCATTAGTTCAAAATGGCCTGAATTGATAAATTTGATACTGTCTGGCACACAACATCACGTTCACGAAACAGGTGATAATTTTTGTGATGTGATCTCTCTCTCTCAGTATAATATTACTGGGTATATTGGTTTCATTTAAAAGCATTAAGCTAGGTTCTTTGTCCAATTTTAACTGATAATTTTTATTTCTGTTCTGTCCTTTGTCATGATCACAGGATCGCTAGCTGAGCTGTGTTACCAGTGCGACTCAACGCTTCACGGGAACTGTGCAGACCCGTTTGATGGCTCAGGCATTCACCAGACTGCATGCCCCTATGGCTGTCAGAAGGTGAAAGAGGAATACAAAGGTACAGTTAAAGGGATAACAACTTTTTGTTTGAGATTTGTATTTTACAATATATACATTGTAAACAACTAATAGAAATATGTTTGCCATCAGACCACCTGGACCTTCATAGATGGGTATTCCTCTGAGAGATTATTTAAAAAAAAAATGGACTAGCTTTGAATGTAGGAATGGGTTTATTAACCATTGGAAATTATGGACTGAGGTTTTTGTACAGGAACAGCGGAGACAGGGGGGGGGGGGTAGGGGGGAGTGGAGCAATGCAATACGGTGTGGCTTCTGAACCCTTCTCCTTATATCTTTAGCCTAATAAAACAGTATAATGAGATCAACAAGGCAAACAAAGCATTCTTATTACTTGGTGCAAGGCTACAGAATGTTTCATCATAGGATATTTGACCTAATCATATATGCATGCAGCTGTTCTGCTAATATGGATAAGGAATGATTTTAATTAAAAGTAGAATTAATTTTTTTTGTAAAAAAAATTTATTTTTACTACTTTAAGGCATATTTACCAGTAAATTGCCTGAGATCAAAGGTGAATGTTGAAGAATACATTTGTGGGTAGTGTGAGACTTCAAGCTACACAGACAATGCACATTCATCATCACATTCTGAAGGTTAATGGAGAAGTGCAAGGTTTCAAGCAAGACCTCCTTAAAAGACAAATTGGGGGACCCCCTTTTTTGCACTCCCTTTTATTTTTTATTCTCAAGGATTCCCCTTTAAAATGAAATTCTGATACCTTCAGTGTTTCAGTGTAAGAGATTAATAAGAAGTTTATACACAGGGCTGCTCTTAAATAGTTAAAACTTACTGAAGGGATAAATTTGTCCTTATTTGTATGCGTGTCATGCTGCTTGTTTCATTATCCATGTGGCTTGTAAGTAGGGTTAAAGATAGAATTTATTAACTTAGTCACAAAAACGAACGTAAAATTTTGTCGGAGATGTTATATTTATTATAAGCTACTTAACTCCACTGCACCTGCAATGTTGAATGGATGGATGAAGCAAATTCATTCTTAATTTTTTTGTTAGTTACTCTTTCTATCTCTACATTTAAAATTTTATTTATTTATCTTGATACATTGTTTTGAACTTCAGAGGCAACGGGAAGAATCACCCGTGGCTGTGTTGTAGCAACAGTGGCTGACCATGGCTGCAGCGAGACTAAAAAACCTGACAGTGGAGTCTCTGATGCATATTGGTGCACCTGTGAGGGCGAACTGTGCAACCATGCCCCAAGGCCCTCCAGTAGCCAAATTCCTCTGTTCATGGGCCTCGCAGCCATCTTACTGATGAGGATACTGTTTTAAGTCATTTTGAATTTCTTTTCAATGATAATGAAATTAACAAAGTTGATTAATTAGTCATCTGGAAACAATTGTTTATTCTACAAGAAAAGCAAAAATGATATTTGAAAGTTTTGAAAACTTATTTTGGGCTGTGTTATAAAGGGAAGCTTTTGTGAGAAACTAAAAATTGATGAATCTTGCAAAAAATGAAATATTGGCCTAAGTGAGGTGTTTTGAAACTTGTAAGTAATTTCCGTAATTGAATTTCAGGGTAAATTGTTGCATAATACATGTACAGTTTTGCGTGCCAAAATTATGCAAAAAGGCTGTGTCAAAAGTCAACTCTCCTTTTGTAGAACATGGACATTGATCAGTTTCTTTGCTGTTTTGCTATTCGGTCTTAGAATTATAATGTGTATTTGGTTATAAAGAGATAGGAACATTTCTGTACAGTCTTTACAGCTGCTACAGAGATCAAATTATCAAGCAATTTAACACAGGCATATAACAGAATGTAATTTGTCCAGCCATATGAAAAAAGTAGTTTTGAATTGTGAATAATTTTATAGAATTCAGTTAATTTTTTATCTTGAAACTTGTAATAAAATGATAGTGTGATTTAAAATACAGACTTCTTTCTATTGTCCCACAAAAAAGTAAAAAATATGGGCACTGTTGGAAATGCCATAGCAATCAACAACCAAGTAATACCATCATATGATATTAGGAAGGGTTATATTTTGAATAAGTATAGAAAAGAGATTATCAAAGTGTGTATTTTGATTCATCCAGTGGATTTAAAATAAAAAGAAATGTATATGAGATTTAATTTCCTTTCTTTATTGAAGTAAGATACCATATATGCATATATACTTTACTCACAGCATTTAGTTTAGGCTCTTTTAGTTAAATGCAGATATTTATTCTCAATAATGCACAGGTCAGCAGGTTCACTGACAAATGTACAATGCTGTTTGCGAACTATAAGAAATCATGAGTGAAAGATGATCTGATACCTTTTGGTGCATACAATATGGCCAAAATTACATGTCAACTAGGACATGCGAATGTCCCATACTATAAGTGGATATCTTGTTTTGATTATGTCACATGATCTTGTTTCACCACTGTACATGGCTCCCTCTGCTAAAAAAAAGTGGAAGCCGTATTGTATCAGATCACCTTTCTCTCATGATTTGTTTTAGTTTCATGGTAATTTCAACATTATATTACCCTTCTGTTATGTTTGTGTTTGTATTTTCATTTTGGCAGTTACTTTAATTGTCATACATTGTGAGTTGTTATTCCACAGTATCAGAAATTACAATATTTAAAAGTTTTCTATCCCTTTTGTTAAATACAACTAAGGGACGATTATATATCAGAGGTGCAAGGTATTGTCAAAGGAAATTCATTTGTGATGCATTTATATTCTAAATGCAATTTTAATGTCTTCGCAATGCATGCATTAATTGATATGTGAAACACACTTCAAGTGTTATGCTGGTTTTTGTATAGATGTATGAAGCATTTAATACTATTTTATATTTTTGCATTTTCTACACAATTTTGTAACTTTTAAGACTTCCCTTTTGCTTATGGTTGGTGGTACTTTAGTATTGATAGCTTGTAACCAGTTTGGCAATTTTCACCACAAATATGTGGCTGTCACAGCATCAGCTTGAATAAATAATATTCATCCTGGAATATTTTTGAAGTTACAGCATTGTCTCACGAGGTTACATTATAGAGTTGTTAAAAATCATTACATATTGAACCACCTTAAGGGTTATGGCATAGCTATTTATAATAGTGTGTTGCATATGTATAGCAATAAATTGAAATCAAAATATTATAAAAATATCCGTATAATTTTTTTGAGACTAAATCTATCACTATGAAGTTTTTACTAAGAGAACTGGCTTTATACAGATAGTTGAGATTTATCTCAAATTATAGAGTAAATTTATGGAATAAGAAATATTTGTTACACTTTGGCTTTATAATATTGTGTATAATGTTGTGTATTAACAGTTTTCTGCTTTGTTTTCTTTAGTATGTGATAAAAAGGACAGCCACATACATTGTGGTGCAAGCATTGTTATGTAACTGTAGCTAAATAACACTAAAATGTAATTATTTTCAATTACTAAAGCTTGTTGTGTATCAGTATTACTGTTTTACCATAAAGAGACATTATGCAGAGTTGTCATTGGCCTAAGTCTTCCCTTTATTTGCCATACCATTGCCCAGAAACACATTGCTTCATTTATACGTGTTATGAAATAGCTACCCCTGCTTTGAAAATGCATTTTGACATGCAGTGAAAATGCAATTTATCCTTGTAACTGTTCCCTAAGTTTAAGTCAAGTGGAAAACAGTGTGGTCTGAAATGAAATGAATAACATATTGGCCATTTCCCAGTTTAAAACTACACACACAGGACAATAGAAGTGTCACCCTACTGAACCAATACTTTGGGGGAGATAAATGACTGTGGAATGATATGCTCCTGGTATCATTTTATTCACATCAAATTTCACAAAAAGACTAACAATACAATTCCATGGGACAGCGGTTTTATACTCATTAGTCACATTATAAGTAGACCAGGCATTATAACTACCCAAGATCTACCTACTATGATAACTCTGATTCAGGGGTTGACACTTCTATTGTGTGTAGATGGTGTGTAGGTCTTACAATTAGAGGGTGGCAGAGATGATTTTTTATTGTATTTCTGAGTACCAGAACCCAGTATTTGGTGTCATTTATTTCTGTGATATTAAGCCAAAATTGTGTCAAAAGAAAAATATATGCTGAAAAGTACTCCTTTGGTTTGTAATTAATTTTCATTGAGATTTTTTCACATTTAGGTGCATATAGGTGTGTATGCAGTGCACTGTCATTCTTTTATACTTAAATAGCCAGGGGAGATTTGAAAAAAAAATTATTTTGGATGTTTATTGTTACTGTCCAGTTTTGCAGTGTTTTCTTAGTTTCATTCACAGTTTGCTTCATTGCCGACTTCAAGTGATTTTTATTCACCTTGTAATAAAAAGTATTGAAAATATTTAAATTACGTCAAATTCCTTTTAAGCAGTTTTACCGTTAAATAATTTGCAACTCAAGTATAACCATGGGAACAAGTTTGAGAAAAACCACTTAGAAACGATGAGCAATCAACAACAACGATCAAAAATTTTCATGAAAAATAAATAATAATTGGTTGGAGTCTAAACCCCAGGTATATTCAACAGACTTAACAATGTTAAGAGCGCATTCTCAACGAATTAAGCCAGGCTTTACAAAGCCGGTGACCTAAAAATGGCGGACGTACATGAAAGAAAAACGCCTAATCTTTTAATAGTCTCTCCGCCTCCCCACACGTCGTCCCTGCGGGGTACAGTAATTAAATCTCGGCTCCGTTCGCCATGCGGAAGCTACCTGAGAAATATTAAGTGCGCATGCTCATCAGTTAAACTCGTGGTGAAGAAAGCATGGCGGCTGAAGGCGATCGAAGGAAAAAAGCTCTTCTGTTCTATTATCTTTGAAAACAGAGACGAAAAGGGAATAATTTGGCCCGTAGAGCAGCAATGAATCGACTATCTACGGAGATAATATCACCAGAGATATTCACGGAAATATTAATGTTTGGAGCCGAGATTTAATTACTGTACCCCGCAGGGACGACGTATGGGGAGGCGTGTGAGAGGCGGAGAGACTATTAAAAGATTAGGCGGTTTTTCTTTCATGTACGTCCGCCATTTTTAGGTCACCGGCTTTGTAAAGCCTGGCTTAATTCGTTGAGAATGCACTCTTACATACAACTTAAAATGATTTTAAAAAGTATGTAAAATTCAAAGTCTGTTTTAATCAATGCCCATTAAATGTCATAAATAATAATAATATAAGAAAAAATGATACAATAAAAAGGAGAAAAACACGAGATTCACCAAGCTTACAGCGGTGAATCAAAATGTGAGAAGCGAATTTTTGGGGCTCCATAGTAAAACAATTTTAATGTGTGATGATCGATGGTCATTACATGACGGCTCTGTGTCACACGTTTCTTTTTTAATATTATCACGGTAAAATTGTTGTTGTATTACACAGTAAATTACACCAAAACTCGTGAATGAAAACGTTATACGGAGACAAAAATTTCATACTTTTAAATCTTGGCCTTAGCCAGTAGTCATATATTTGAAAGTGAATATTTAGCTTTTAGTTCTTTTCTTTCCGCAGTTCTCTTAACAGTGGTCGGTAAATCCTGCGACTTAATATCTCTAATTTCTCATTGGCACAAAAGACTTGGTTTTGATGGACGCATGTTTTAAGTCTCGTCTGACAGCTTGCTTTAGACTGTGAAAAATCCCTGATGCACTGGCTGATCTGGTCTACGCATGTTTCTATTGAAAAAATAAAAATAAAATGAATAAATAAAACAATAAATTTTTGTATCTGCTTAAAATAAAAGAATCGATTAGAAACTACAAGTAGCGTAACACAAGTACAGCTGCAAGTAGACGTCAGCATGTTGGAATGCTACTTAGTTTGTGAGGCACGTCAGCGGAGGAAATTCAAAATATATATCTGACTCAAATCGAAACAGAAAGGAAAGGGGACAGATGAAATACAAATTGGTATGTCACGTCAGATTAATAGCTCTTTTCTTTCATTCTCTACTACTAAAAGAATACATCAAAAGCAGCAACGTACCAAAACATAAAAGAGACGTCTGTTATGAACCGAAAGAGGGGGGAGCGGAGGAAATTTGCCTTCAAATAGTTTTTAGATTACATCCGATTAGATATTGTTATATTCTCGGCACGTGAGTACCTGTCACGTGAACAATATTACGCTCACACCATGTGAAGCGATACAGCTATAGGGGCGCGCTATAGCATATGATAATATGTAAAGGGACCTTTTAGGGCTAAACAAGGGAAACATCTTAGAAATTCCTTACCTGCCGAGCTGCTGACGTCATGATATTTTTTTCTCCTCACTTCTCCCACTTTGTGACGTTGCTTGTGGCTTTGTGAGTGCTTGTGAGTGCACCGAACAGATGCCTTGGTAATACATGACTAGAATGATATGGTTTTAAAGAATAAAGTGCATAAATGTACATAAATATCTGCAACGCATATTAAGATACTTAATATGGTATGTATTTATTCCATCAATTTATTTTGGTACTACAGTAGCAGCAGCAGTAGTAGTGCCTGTTACAATGACCTCGGTCTAAAATGCTCAACAATACATACAACATAAAACAGAAGCAATGTATTACCCGCACTGCACCGCATGTCTCCCATTTGAATTCTTCTCCCGACGCATGTGCCGACTGACTACATGTTAGCAGTATGGACGTGATGTCACAACTGTCATGGGTCGCAATCGAATGACTAAAAAAGAGGGGGTTAGGAACTGTGCTTGAAAAATGATACATAAATTCAAAAGAAGGAAATAAAAAAAGACGAGAAAAATCGAAACCTTTCATTGATTAAGCACTATAGAAAAGAGCTTGAACATTAAACGAAGAGCGATAAACGTTTGACGGGGATGAGCTCAGACGCAGATAATTTCTTTTAAGTACCTAATTAAGCATGGGTCTGAAATGCGTCAGGACAAAATATTACCGGGAGGAAATATCCCTCACCCTTGCCCCGTCATATTATGTTTATTTCAACGATATACATTTAATAACTCGCTATCATAAACGAATCATACGAACGCTAGCTTCGACGAGCGTGCTTTACTATATTTTTCATAACGTACTGAATAGTTTTATCATGTAGTTAATAGTGCAAAATGCTTTAATTTAGATGTTTATGGTATGTCTTATTGATCCTGGTTAATTAAAAAGTGCCTGGACGGTATAAGGAAATTAGAATAAAGCACATAACTTGTTATTTATTGGAAAATGATGCATATGAACTGTCATCATGAGCTAGATTCCCGGTAAACAAGGAGAATCAAAATAAATTTTCGGCTTATCATTCCATTGTTCCATGAGAAGCAGAATTTCATCAGAAACGTGACGTCATTACTTTACTCCATATTAATAAAGGGTACTATACATGTAGTATAAAACAGAAATAAATGGGGAAAGTAAAAATTATGCACATATATCACACAATTTATGCTTTTTGTGAAATAATAGGATTCTTTATATACTCAGGTAAACTCGCCAACAGCTTTAGATATTGAGTGTGATAGAAACTGAAGCTTATCATTTAATTTGGCCACTTAAAAATTGTCAATATATTTATATACTAATTTACGTTCTTACATGTTCTCACGTCATTTTAATAGGTTAACAAAATATGAAGTGCTCAAATACAAGTTCTTATTTGGCCTGAGTTCTCATTTTAAGTAGCCAGTTTTTAGTCCATCATTTGTTTAATTGAGAATGTAACCATTTACATTATGATAGGGCCTTTTCGACGATGTAAATTTTGGATTATTGGTGTATTGATTTCTGAATTTCAATTTTCACTATAAACGGCAAGTTCATATTTAGATCATTAGGCCTATATGCTGAATATGTGCTGAACGTTAATATAAATCTATGCACAGGTTAAAGATAACTTACCCATTCCACTTCATTTTTCTTACAAAGAAAATCTCAGGACCGTCCTCAGGAATATTCCTAGCAGATATTCCAGGGAGATTTTGGTTAACTTCGGAATTCACATTCCCATACCCTGCAGTAATCTGACAAAGTAGCAGCAAAGTAGCAGTTACTTGTACATAGCAGAGGTAATTTGTACATACACCATGTATTTGTCCCATCGTTGTCATCGCATTGCGTTGAGATGTCATAGTTTTATTGAAGACTTGCTGGTTCAAAAAACACCGATGGGTAAAACATCCGCTGGATATTAAATTTCCCTTGATGACTAGTCTGCGATGAATAGAGGTGAAAGCATAAGATGATAAAAATCACAGCATTCGGTCTAATTGAACATACATGCGTCTATCGCTTCAGCTTTCTTTAAGTAAACAAAACAAATGTTCTGCTTCATTCACGTGCGTGGGAGTGGGGCATGACACATAGGGCATAGGACCTATACGTACTGCCTGCCTTTATTAGGCGATATTCTCTTTAGGGCAATCGATCTTTCCCGGAAGAAAGGATATTGCTTTAGAATCCATCAAACTGCGTATTTATGAATCAGAATAACATGGCCAATAAAAGACCAAACACTGGGGCAAATACATAAGATCAACGCATTGTCTGTGACTTAAAATTTTCGAGAATGCGGACACGCAGTTTTCGCCTTAAAGGTGGCTTTGGATAGGTCTATAACAAAGTTGCTTGAAAAAAAATTTTTAATAGTAAAGAAATTAATATGCTTGGTTAAGTTTTTTTTTTTTTTTTTTTTTTTTTTTTTTTTTTTTTTTTTTTTTGAAGTCTTATGGGCCTACATTTTCCCATTAGAATGTGTAGCCATACCAGACCTTCACAGGACTCCCCCCTCCCCTTTCCGAAAATCATAAGAACTAAGACCCATAAAGAAATTGTCTAATTTAACATAAAAGAACAATTCAACGATTAAAATAGGACCTTTAAATTTATCTCTTTATAATACCTAGGCCCAGGGCCGTAGCCTGAGCAAAATGCCAGGGGGGGCAGTAAGCGGACNCCCCCCGCCCCCCCCCCCCCCGGAGCCTACGGCCCTGCTAGGCCTATACCATGCAGTACGGGGGCTACTAGGCAATTAGGCCTAATTATAATAGGCCTACGAGTAGCTTAGGCTCAATAGGCCTACATGTAAATTTGTTCAAATGCCCATGAGATTAAAGACATAAAAGTCTCTGTACATCTATCTGTTCTCAGTATTGAACTATTTAAATTTTTTATTCTGTTAGTTAGGCCTTGGACATAATAACGAATTCGTTATTATGTCCAAGGTTAGGCCCTAGCCTATTTGTGTTGATTTTGCGGAGTTAGAGAAATAGACCTACATGTACGTGTCTCTACTATAGGCCTACAAAGTAGGCCTGTAATTAGTTTTGCAACATATAGGCTTATAGGCTTCTCAAATGCTTTGCTTATTGGTTCTATACCCCTGAAATAACCCCATCTCTCACTGAGGGCCTATTTTTGAGTGTGTTTGAAGTTGATTTTTTAAAACACAGTGATATGCCAAAGTGATATGCCTAGACACCTAGGGGATCGATTAACTGGCCTATTAGGCCGTGATTTAAAAATGACAGAGACATTGCTCAAACAACATAACCTAATTAGAAAAAACGTAATTAACCAAAATATGTGTTGGGGGCACACTGCATGAGTGTTTCGTCATCTACCGCTACCCCTTCCCCCACACTTACGAAGCAGACGAAACAAAAGTAGGCCAAGGTTACTCACATCCGGGCTTTTTGAACCCGTCATGTCAGAGACATGAGTGATTCAGGAAGGTAAAGTTTACCCTGTATTTGTATTAAAATCAATATCTAATATGGCCAAGTATGATCATAAATATTACTAAAGAAGAAAGCAAGAAGGAGCAGCTAATGTAAAATACATAGCTTTTAAATTAGCTGAGTTTGACTCGATAGAATCCACCACTTCCGGGAACATCCTGGAAGCGGAACTTCACTAAGGACGATTATACCCTTTGTTTCTACTCGGACTTCGACTTGGGAACATGGATAAAATCATGGACGCTACCACCGAGAGAAGCCCAAGCTTCACTCCGTCTGGCGAACGAACTGTAAAAATGCGACCCCGACAGCAAGTCTCTGAAAACATCAAGAAGGTAGCCGTGACGATGAAAGGGGAACAGGCTCAGTTCATAGAGCTGGACCAGGTAATTAATTGCGGTCTTTAATTATCAGTCATGGTGTTAAATATGGCTTGAATATGCTGAGGTCAGTTTTTTGACAAGCAGTGATATCACAGTGATAACTGCATTGTTAACTGATTAGTGAATAAATGTGTGAAATGAAAAATATCTCAATGGATTGACATCAAAATTATGGCAAATTGAATGAAGGTGTGAAAGCTCATGGTATTTCATTCGGCATTTCATTGAAAATATCAGATATTAAAACTGTTGTTGAAGTTATGATTAGGGCAGGGGTTATTGTGTGTTCAGTTGCTGCCTTACATGTACTAGTAGAAGAGTAGAGGAGGGAGGGGGAGTCAATAGATCATGCTGCATTCTGATTTTTAAGAAATTTATACATTTTATACATTATATTATTTTCTAAATAAATTGAAAATTATTATGTGACAAGAATTTTACATCTGAGTTATGCATTATAAATCATTGCAATGGAAACCACTTGAAGGTGATACTCACTGTTCATAACATGCTTAATGCCATCTTCTGTTTCTCATTTCACAATTATTTCATTCCAGAACCGCCCTCTTGCAGCCATAATCAGGGATGTGTGTGATGGGTATGTGTTTGAAAAGACCAGGTTACAACAAGAACATGTTGATTTTTCCATAGTGTAGTTTCTAACAGTATTTAATTAGTTTTAAAGTCCTGCTTTCAAGAATTAGGTGGCTTAGCTTGCTAATGTAAAAATACAAGATAATTACTTGAATTCATCCATGATAGATAATCAACAGACCTTCACATAAGGTGCATGTGGAAATAAAGACAAAGTATCTTCGATAATAATTTTCATTATGTATTATTTTTTGGTTATAATTAAAATATATATTTTTGATAAATAAAATGGATATATATAAATAGAACGTAGAAAAGTAATAGGAAATATTTCTGTGTTGTTGTCAAAATGTATTTAGCTTATTTGAATGATGTTGGGGTCTGTTTTACAAATTTTCTGAGGCTTTGGGTATTGCTTTGTCGGAAAGCTCAATTTATATATTAATTGTCAGCATTGGTATATGATCATTTTAATGAATGAGTTTTTACTGATCATAGTCAAGATTGATTTTAGTTCAAAACTGAGTCCTTTTGTGAAATAGAGCCCAGGAGCTAGACTGGTGTGCTGTTAGAATCAGAAATGATATGCAGTTTATGGCCTTTTCATTTTTATATTCTATTTTAGATGGATGCTGACCAATGCAGATGACCATGCTTTACAAGTCACTGAACCAAACAGACCACAAACGTACATCACAGAAAGAGTAAGGCTCAAAGAATCTGATATTGCTTGTACTGTCTAAGTTCTTACTGAAGGCTGAAGGCACTTTGCTTAATTTCTTGACTCCATTATTCCAGTTGTTAAGCAGTCAGCACAGTGCACACTTGATTGGAAAGCAGAGGGATGGCTAGAACAGTTCTAAAATCAAAAATCTTCCCTTCTAGGATAAGACCTAAAACTCATTTTGCTCTAAAATGATCATCAATTTAAAAAGAAAAACATTGATATATAATTTAGTTTTTTTTTCTGCACTTTGAATGACCTGGTATAAATGTTTTTATTATTGCAGTGTATTGAAAATATTGAGACACTCATTTGCACTTTTATCAATTTCAGAATAGACATGAGATACAGAATGGCAATGTTTTAAGACTAACATCCTCACCGGTATGTTTAATCATTACTTGTAAGGATTCTGAAGTACTTTTATCCTCTTTTATTCAACTCAAGTGTCAAACCTTTCAGAAATTGTTTTCTCTTGAAAATAGCCCTGGAATCTGTACGAAAACATTTGATGACTCTGTACATAGTCATGGATATAAATTCAATATAAATTCATTGGTATGTGAATAAAAGAGATTGGATTGAGTTTAAACTTATTACCTGCTATATATTAATTTTTGATGAAAGGCAGGTGTGTGTGTGTGTGTGTGTGTGTGTGTGTGTGTGTGTGTGTGTGTGTGTGTGTAATACCAATTATTTGATCTTGTATCACATTTTTCCCCTTTCAGTCAAAAACAGCTAAGGAAATATTAGAGCAGCTGAACTATGGAACACAGGAGAAGAAACTGGAAGCCTTGAAAGACTTAGCCAACTTTTCTGTTGACGTGACATTTGCTGTAGAGTTTATCAACACACAGGGGCTGCGGCTGATATTGCAGATGGTGGAGGGGGGTGGCATGTAAGTGAAATCAAAATAGGCCATTTACCATGAGTTTTAGACCAATCTGTAAAAAACAGATATTTGATTTTGCTAATTAACATTAATTTTATTCTTAAATGAGCCCAAATGGATTCCTGGTAAATCATTAAATTCAAAAATTGAGATGTCTGTTAAGTTTAATTTCAGTCTGCGGGGCAGGTATATTAATTAAAAGTTACAGTGAGACGAGTGACGCTATCCAGGAGTTTTAAGGATTATAGTTTGTTTTTTATGTGAGAAGAGTTACCTTAGCTTCTGATTTCCCAGTCTTGTAAATAAACAAAATAAGATCGTTCTTATTATTGATGTGTTTTAAACATTTCATTTACTCCTTTTATCTAAATGTGATGCAATTTATCTATAATATTATTGTAGTAGTGGAGAATCCTTGGCGTTTACGTTGAAGGCATTTGTGGAGCTCATGGATCATGGGATTGTCTCCTGGGACATTCTGGAACCAAAATTCATCAAGAATGTGAGTAGATAACAATAACAACAATTACTCTGATTTTAGCTGGTGATTGAAGAAATTATTATAATATTAGCAAAGACTGCTAGTCAAACATGTCATTGATGTGATTTTAAAATGTAAGATAGATAAACAGAATCATGTTGTGTTTCGTTCTCCCTTCCCCAGGTGTCTGGCTGTATATCTAAGAGTGGTTGTGACCCCACAACACTGCAGTCTGCACTGGAGATATTGGAGTCCACCGTGTTACACAGGTAATGGTGGAGGTCTCAGCATGCTGTATGTTAGGTCATTTCCAACTGAATAACTAAACTTAAAAGCAGAGAGAGAGAGAGAATTCATCATGAAGATTGATAATTTTTTGCCAGAGCTACTTGATTGGTCAGATCCAGATGCGTGGAAATTTAAATCATTTATGAAAGTATGCAAGCAAGCAAGGGTGCTTGTGTGTGTGTGTGTGTGTGTGTGTGTGTGTGTGTGTGTGTGCGTGCGTGCGCGCATCCATGTGTGTTCGTAGAGGGGGAGGTGGAAGGGAGTACTTGAAATTGAACTAATATCTGAATTTTTGTTAAACCTCTTATGATATTTAAATTTATGTTAACTTTGTAGATACAACTGTACAGCACTTGAGTGTAAGGCTAAAAGGAAGTTATTTTGAATTCCAGTTGAAAGATATAGAAAATTCATTGTGTATATTTTATTTCCAGTTCTTCCAAAGCAGGTTTTGTGGAGCAGGAGGTTACACCAGTCAATCTCATTGTACATTTACAAAGGTGACATTGCTTTCCTTTTGAACAGTATTGAAGATATGTCTTGTTTTAATCTGGTCATCAAATTTTTTAGCAAAGATGTAATTTTGTACATCTGAACTACATGTTTGTATTTTTATGGATAGATAGTTTATTATAATCAAACTATCTATATAAAATAGTTGTTCACTAATTCAGATATACATATGAATTTTAGATGTTCACATTATTATCAATAAATTGAACTGAAAAAACTTTAATTACAATAATTTTTGCAGAGATAAAATATTTTCTTGTAGACTTTAAGATAACCCGAATCCAATAACATTTTTTTTAAGTAGTAGGTGATTAACTTTTTGTTGTAGATGATTAAATTTTTGTTGGAGACTACACAATTTTGATAGTATTTGTAATTTTTGTTGCAGTTCAAATCCAGATATACAAAAGAGTGCCATAGCACTGATCAATGCACTGTTCTTGAAGGCAGAGTCTCAGAAGAGGAGGGTAGGGTTGATTTTTATAATCAGATTGAGAACACTTGGGAGGTGGGGGGTGGGGACAGAGAGAATTCAGTGAATTATTTTATCATTTTCTACTTAAATACTTAAATGGCAAAAAATGAGATATCCAGTTAGGAGAGAGAGAGAGAGAGAGAGAGTTAGTTGTCAGTGATTATATAGCTTCCATTTTAAAATTTAAATAATGACCAAAGATGAGAAAGCATTTTATGGATAGCCATTACATATATTACTAACAATTACATTTAGATATAAGGAGTAAATGAAATGTTTTACCTTTGCAGGCCATAGCAGAGAGTCTCCAGAGCAAATCAATCAGGAATGTGATTCTCAGTGTAAGTTGATCAGTCTTCCAATATCAAAAATAAGTTTTTATTTATTTATTAATTTCATTTCCAGTTAAATAAACTTATCCTCACCCCTCCTCTCCATTTCTTGATATCCATAATTTATGCCATTGGCATAATTCTTTTACCTCCTAGATCATTTGTATACGGCAAGTTAATCCCATTCGTTGTTTGCTGTAGAGGCTTTATTGAAAATTCTTTAAAAGATCAAGATAAGCAGCCTTTCAGATTATTTATGAAACACAACTTCGTTGACATAAATTCCAAGAGTCATGAGAAAGACCAATTTTCAACCAGGTAGTAATTGTTTTACAAAGAAGCATTTCAATTTGTGTTTTGTTTGCTTTCTTCCAGCATGTCATCCGTGGTCCTAACACAGTGGGCACAGAGATGGCACACCAGTTATACATGTTACAGAGCCTGATGTTTAACTTGTTAGAGGAGAGAATGAATGCCAAAGTGGATAAACAAGACCAGGTAAGTTAAAGTTAAAAGCACCAGTCCTGCTATCCATTTTCATGCTTATAATGAACATATTGAATGTGATATGATTGGTTTATTTTGCAATTCCTCGATAGATATGGCCAAGATTACGTACTCCCTGGGGGCTTTCTGTTTAAAACTTAGGTACTTGCTTATTTAAACGGCTAGTTAATTTTATCAAATTGAAAAAAAATCAATAAGTAATGCATATGAACAGATGAGAATATACACCTAATCTGAAAATCTTTTTTTGATTGTCATGTATGCACAATTTTTAAAATCATTTTCTGAACTTGAGAAGTTTGTTTGGATGATTACTATGGCTAAAAAAAACTTGTGTCTTTCTCATGAGGACTCCAGCTGATTAAAAAAATGTAGCAAACATTAAGTATTATACTTAAAGAAACAAATGATAGTGATCTAAACTATTTTTTCTTGTATGAACAGGTGTCCATGGCTCTAATTGTTGAACTGAAGAAGCTTGCATTTGACACAGAGAACGAGAACAACACAACTTCCTACAGAAAACAGTCCAACTTTGGCACCTACTACAAAAAGTTAGGGTTTCAGGTAAGGAGGATATTCTTCATGAAGATAACGTTTTTATTTGTGATATGCATCATAATTTCCAAGAAAAGAAATCATTATGCTGATCAGAGGATGATTTTAAGGGAGTCACAATAAAATTGGTATTTTCTGTGTGATAACTTATGTTACTATTCTGTTAGTAAGAATATGGAAGTAAGAATATGTGAAGATGTACCAATAAGGCCATTTTTTCTTTTCTTTTTTTCATTTTTATAGCTTTTATATGAAAAGTTTCCCCTGTTATTTGCAGCATCATTCCAATCCAGTTGAAGACTTCACAGAGGTGCCCCCTGGTGCCCTGGCCCTGGATAACATGGCCTACTTTGCCAGGAGTCACATTGATAGTTATACCAAGGTAATTGAATTGGTTTCTGTTTCTTTCTTTTTCTTTTATTTGCTGATGTGTGAAAAAGAGTAAATGCACTCGTGCAGGTATGCACACACAAACAGAGAGAGAGAGAGGACTACACATAATCCAATTCATATGTAGGTACATTACAGCAATATAATGAAATACAGTACAAATCAGTTTACTTGCAATAATTACTGTAACATACAGCAATATTATGTTTGAAAGAGCTCTGTCTTCCGTTGCTTTGATTTTTATTTTGATTTGCTCCATTAGTCATTAAAAAAGAAAAGACAAGGTTGCAAGTCGTGTGTTTAGTTGCCTTGAAAAAATGAGAGCATGGATCTAACAAACACAATTCTGGATCAAATCCAGCAGCAAAAATATGACAGTAATTTGTGCCCATTTTAACAAATTTAATGCTCAAGATTTAAATAAATTAAAAAAGTTAATTTTCTTTTACTAGGTTGTGTTAGAGAACTCCTGTAGGGCAGATGAACATGACTGTCCATTTGCCAGGGCAAGCATAGAACTGACCAAAATGTTGTGTGATATCCTCAACATTGGAGATACACGTAAGTGGCAACCCCCTGCATATGCATTCTGAATAGGCCTCTCTAGATTGTGATTGAGAGAGAGAGAGAGAGAAAGAGAGAGAGAGGGAGGAAGGGAAAGGTGGTCTTTCTTCTGTATATTGATGAAGGACCCTGTGTAGCTGAAAGTTAATTGGGGAGACTTAAATTATTTTCTGATGTAATTAGATTTTTGAAAGTTTCTTTATAGATAATCACTTTTTAAAGGTTACTAGAGAGGAACAATACATCACAATTGTAATAATCTACTTGAACCAGTGGTGATTGCAGAGTCTACTAGACATTATCTTTTTCACTATATGGGATTAAAAAATTATTTAGGAACAGTTTTTTATTACTGTAATTGATATTTAATTACTGACTCATTGTCACAAGCGCATAGCCAGTGAAAGTGATTTTCCAAGTTGGTCCTCCCATGGGTTATAGCTTAACAATGAGGTTTGCACAAAAACTGAATTATTGCAGTGCAAAACTGCTGTTGCATACTCAATAAACAATATATGTGGAAGTAGAAGAAATTTAAAACTGAAAGTGAAAGAATCGGTAGGCAAAAGCTAAGCCTGTATTGTACTGTTAGTAGAAGTAGTGTTCTGTTGTTTGAGAACAGAGTTATATTGTCTATGTAGTTGTATGTATATCGGATACATTATTAGAGGTAATGCTTCTCAATTTCTCCTAGCACTTGATAAGAAGAATATGGTAGTAGTAAATACTCAATTTCCTCCCTATTGTATGCTCCAATCACTGCCCTCCATCAGTGAATTTAAGAAAGCAATTATATGAAGGCACACTGAAGCCACAGCACATTCTAGCAAAAGGAAAGAGAGAAAAGTCTGAAAGATCAGGAGATTTTTGTCTTAATCAGGAAGTCGGGAGCTATGTCCCTGAATCAGGAGACTCCCACTGAGATTGGGAGTGTTGACAGGTCTTTTGATATATTGAAAATACAGAGAAGTTATTCAGATTAGTATTTATTTCTAGTTTTATTAAGGTTCTGATGTCTGAGTAAAAGAGTTATTGAATATCTCTGCCCAAGGAGTTTTGAAAGTCGCTGCAATAATCATGGACTGGTCTTTATCACTGTGTGACAGTTTTTATAGATTGTGGACACTTGCTTAATTGCAATCCATAAAGTGTTGCCTTCATTACTATCTTTCATCTGATTGAAATGTTAAATTGAACTATTCAAAGTTAAAGTTAATTTTGATATATTAATATTAATTGTTTTAGGATTGTTTTAAAAAACCCAAACAAAAAAAAAATTATCCATCACTGTTCACATGCTTGGACTTCAACTTATTAGTAACTGTGCCAGTGGATTGTCACGTGGTTGATACAGCTGACCTGCATTGTAATCTGTTTTCAATACAGAGTGTTGGAAAATCCTGTGTATTTGCTCTATTTAGTAATACTGTAAGTCAGTGACATGAGCACTGGTCCATCACAGCCTGGGTGCTGTTTCTGCTTTAATTTGGGGCTAGTGGATTCTTAGACCCTGTTGTCCAGTAGGATCAATGGGTTGAAAGGGAATTTTTCACAGACTGGAAATGTGTGCTTTTGTGAAATTTCTAAAATTCTGAACTGGGCAGAATTTTGCATTGCCTGAGGGTGCTTATAAATTGACCAGTTGTTCTCCTTCTCCTCTGGTCACTTTTTTATTTGAAAAGAAAAACAGAAACAGTTGCCTTATCATGATGTTTTGATTCACCCTGTATTTTATATTAGATCCTGCATTTGGTACAACTTCCTGTTTTGTTTTTTGTCCTTGGTGTCATTTTGTCTGAAGCAGTATCTCACCTATCTGAGGGTGAAAATAAGGCAGTAGTGCAGGTAAAACGTCTTTAAGTGGTGGCCAGTGATAACAAATTACTATATTTTGAGTGGCATGTCTCAATTAATGTGGTAAAGAACAATGGTGGTTTCATTATGGAAACTGTTATTTACTCGAGTTTATTTTCCTTTAAATGGATGCAGAGCCAGGCTCTGTGTGATTCCAGCTGATTAAGGTCTTTTAATGGGAGACATCAGTCTTATTTTACCTGTGGAAGTAACGCACATGCAGTGTCCATATACTCACTGGTGTATTATTGTTATTGTAAAAGCACATTCACAACAGATCTAACTGACTTCATCATTCGAGATGAGTTGATTTCTTAAGATATTAAGATAGAAAGCAGGATAGAGGTTCTCATATGTGACATGTTAGTAATAGTCTACTGGTACCCATAAGTCTGAGTAGGCTCTTCATGGTTTAGTGAAAACCTGTTGAGAGAATACTGTCAATTTGAAGACTGACAGTGCCCAAAGAGGACTGATGCTTTTTTCACGAGTCAATGTGAATATACCTGAGTACGTCTTATATGTAGTTATTGATGTTTAGTTGATGTATTTAAACTATTGTAAGAGACAGAGACACTTGCTATACACTTCTGAAGTACCTAGCTGTAGAACTGGAGTGGTGAGTACACTGTAAAACAGCTTTTAAATTAGTCTTTTGGTGCACACCCTAAGATTTCAAGGTTCTTGTTGATGTTTAGGCTGCATTCACATTGATCCACAGATTAACAGATCCATGGATTAAATATGGCTGACCCACTTGAAATTGTGCCACATAATACCCTAATAGACACTGAATAGATTCTGAGGAATTATGAGGCAAGCTTTCAAGTGGGTTGGCCATATTTAATCTGCAGATCTGTTAGTCCGCAGATCAACTGTGTTGTTTAAGTAGCCTTAGACTCAACTATCAGCATGCCTTTGTCTGTTATTTGCAGGAGTCTATACGTCTTTGAAACCCAGGTTGTCTGCAGTGAGACCTGGTAAACATAGCTGACAAAGTTACATCATTTAATTTTAAGGCAGGGTCAAGGTCTTACTTCGCAGGATATTGTGTACAGTTGTATGGACTATTTTAATGCAAATATGAGAAACACCTGTTTCATGCGGGCATACTGTAGGTAATTTAAATGATTTAGAAGTAAACATGAAGTTTGTGTTATTGACATCTTTTCAGAAAGTTACTTCATGGTGCTTCTAACAGTGATTTAAATTTTGGATGCAGAGCTTGTTGACCACGTGCCTTGATTAGGACCATTGTTAAATTTTGACCTGATTTAGATAATTAGTAAATCATTAAAATGATAAAACCTGTCACACAAAAATGTGAGGATGTATTTCTGTATTCAGATATGTTATTTATATTATATACAATTGACTCTGTGACCAGAATGTATAGATAGGCAGTATGTTATCTAGTATATATAATATATATATAATATATATGATTTGGTTATCACTGTCAGTTGGCAAGAGAGCACCTGAGAGTGAACACAGGTCTGGCATTGGTGGGTATAATTTAATGTTACTGTTATAGTTATTGTTCCTGTTTCAATATTGATTGTTGTCTTATACAGTAACACTTGCCCACAGCAGTAATCTGTTCAAGTTTTCAGTTCTTGGTTGAAAATTGAAGTCATTCTTTTTGTTTATTGTTTGGACCATCAAGACTTAACTAGGTCACAGTATCTTTAGTCAGCTAGTACATTTATTTACCACTTTGCAAATTGCAGTGATTTACCATGTTTAAGCTGGTAAGTTTGTTACAGTGTTAAAGTTTATAACTTGACTGACAATTGCTATTGTTCTGTGATATATAATTTCTGTGATATAATTGATATTTTTACATAGCTTTTTAATAGGGAGGTCACATTGATTTCTGTCAAATTGGTGTTATCTGATAGAGCAATTCAAGAGCCTTCCAAAACATTTTATTTTTTTTTTAATCGAGCAAGCCAATCAAAAGTTATTAAATTTACAAGAATGCAAGTTGGCCACAAAATTCTAATTGCATGCAAGCGTATGTAACAGTGGAAGCCAAACGTGTCACCCAATTGCCAAATCAATTAAACAAAATTGGCATAACTTTTGAACGGAGTAAAATGTCGATTTGAAATTTTGAAGCCAGTTACACTATGCCAAGAGGAATCTGCCAATATATAATTTTGTGGAATTTATCCATGATTTCCATGGCAACCATTGCTAAACTGTGATGCTTCAAAACCACTGTCTAAAGGCTACTTTTGGATAAAAAAGATGCTAAATAAAATGTGTAATCACTGGAAACGAAAAATAATGGCTTCTAATGTATCTGTTACTATGGAAACCATCATTATGATAGCTGTTGCTATGGTAACAGTTTGAATAATATTTAACACATTATCATGAATTTTTCAACTGAAGACTCAATAAGAAATGGAAGAATCTTTTGGTCACTCAATATATGAAATGAAGATGAATAATAGAAAAATACATTGGCACTGTTGCCTTGGCAACCAATGCTACAACAGCAATAGCAAACAGGATGGCGTACATTAATTTTCAACTGAATATAAATGGAAGACACTCTTTTGGTAGTCAGTATATGAAAGTTAGTTGAGTAATAAACAAATACAAAGGCACTGTTGCCATGGCAACCAATGTTACAATGGCAATCGCAGATTTAAGTAGTATAAAATGCCAGAATACACAATGGAAATAATATTTGATATTGGTAAGCTATTATTTTTCCAAAAATATAACCTGATTTTGGTTACCATAGCAACTAGGTAGTTAGAAACCAGTGCAATTTTTTTAAAGAGACTGCCATCACATAATGTCAGTTTCAGGAATTTTTTAATTCTTTTGTTTAAAAAACCTACCCTTGTTCACTTTAGTTTGATTGTCATTTCACCAGAGTCACTAGTCATTTCCAGAGTTACTAGTTAATAAATATAATTTTATGGTAAATTATTAATAGTTTATATCAAATGTAATATTCAGTAGGTCATTGCAGAGAAGGCAGGACCAAGTTCACCAACAGCAGCACCATCCTTGGTCTTACAGTCAATCTTTGAAATTGTAGTAAATGATTAATTATAATGCTTTATATACAATTATAGCTTCAGAAGAAGGCCAAGTGTACCATCCTATGTTCTTTACCCATGATCGTCCATTTGAGGAGTTCTACGTGATCTGCATCCAACTACTTAATAAAACATGGAAGGAGATGAGAGCAACTGCCGAGGACTTTGCTAAAGTGAGTGGTGAAGCATAATAATATTCTATACAAATTTCAGAACAGTGTGTATTTAAATCTGAAGCGCCTTATGGTAGGAAGAATTTCTCAGAAAAATGAGACTGATTTAAAGTTTTTAAAAATTATATAACTTTTAAAAACCCTTTTATAATTATTAGTCTTTAATAGATTGGAAAAAATACATGATAATCTCAACTAGCTTATTAGACATCTAGTAATCTAATAACTGTCAGAAAGTAGTGTGAGAGCAGTATTTTCTTAACAAAATTTTAATCTATTTGTGGACCTTTAATATCTGTTAATAGGTGATTCTTGTTAAATAGTAACATATACTTTGAAGATGTGCATCCACATCAGTAATAGATTCAGAAACTTATTTTAATGAAGTACAATTTTGTGTGGTTGAATTTAGATTAAAACACTGATTTAGCAGTACTGTAATGGCTTAATCCTTTCAACCAGAAAGTTGTGAATTTTACAAATCCTGTATTTTTTTAAGTAAAAATTTCCAAAAATTAGAACATTCCTATTGAGTGGTAGCAACACAGTTGAAAAGCAGACTACCTAATAGTTCTATTCTGTGCAGTTAAAGCACCAAAATGCACCAAAATGCTACATTGAAATGTTTTTTAATGATTCAAAAATTATGTATCTGAAAATTTAAATGGTGGAGCCACTGCTGTATAAAAGTTTTATAAAAATTAGACAATTTTTTTGCTAACCGTTAACTCCCCTCTTGATAGTTGAAATGATCGAGCTATTGCTGTATAAAAGTTTCATAAAAAAATCAGTCAATTTTCTTGCTGACCCTCAAAGCCCCTAAGCAACAAAAGGCCCTTAATATCATTGAAAGCAGACTAATTATCCCCCAAAGCTACTGTAGTTTTTATAATCTCTATGAAATTTTATTAAAAAGAATGATAACTGACTTTCATAATTTGCCTTGAAGCTGCCTGTTAGCTGATTATGTATTGAAAAAGCTCAAGGGTGTTGATTTGACAAGATGCCAAATTGATACTATTGATTCATAAACTACAGTAGGTGTAGACTTTACTGAGAAAATATTGTACAGTGGAAATTATTAATTAAAGATCTGATACCATGAAAATGTTCCAAGTAGAAAGCAAAGCATCAATAAGAGATACAGAAATGATGGTATCAGTACAGTACACATGCATATGTGTATAAGGGTAGTTCCCAGTGAAACTGTTGTTCTACATAGATTTATCCAGCTCTCACTGAATATAATAAGTTTTACTGAATGACACACTTCCTCAAGCTGCCTGGGGTTTACATTTCATGTTGGCTCGGCTTCGGAAAGCTTTTTAACTTACTTTTGAGAACAATCAAATTTGCACAAAGTAAACCCCCCCCCCCCCCCCCCAAGCTGCTACAGGAGGCGTCTTATTGAGTTAATTTGATTGTATTCAGCGAGATTCCCCACGTACTTGGATTTATCTACCTAAAACAGTAGTTTCATTGGGAATACACTCTTATGTGATTGTGAGAGTAAAATGAAAACGTATAGGCCAGTCAATAAACCATTTAGATTGGAAAAGAATAGTTGCAAAGGTTTCTCAACTGATTCAGGTCCATTAAAGGCCCAGTATAGCCCAAAAAATTCCCCTGTAAATACCCCCCCCCCCCCATGGGAAGGTATTTTTTCATCTAAAATCCAAAATGGACACCACTGAATGAGGTGACCCATCATTCAGTAGCATTTTGCATCTTGTCTGGGAAAGGAGTGGATTTTACCTGACAGTAGTCATATAGTATACTTCATGGCAGTTTGATGAAAGAACCTCCATGGCATGTCACAAAAAAATGTGAAAAAAAAATGAATAAAGATAAGATGATGAAATATATAAGTCTTGTGGGCAGTCTAAGCATATCCCAATGATACATGGCAATATAATGACTGTCTGTGGGCTAGGTGTCATTATATAGTAAGTCATTAAAAGTGATAGTGAGAAGGCTTGTTTACATCAAGACTGATTTCAAATATCATTAGAGGACCAGAATATATATAGATGACCAACCCATTCTGCTTCAGAATTTTAAACTCCATATAAAGCACTCTGGCAACATCATTCATTCTAATTATGGTACAAGTTTGCCCTGATGTGAACAGAGCCATATCAAACACCAACAACACAGAACACAACACATCAGTGACTACCACAGAAGGTTGCTAAGTAGATGTCATGTCAAAAAATAAAAAAATTCTGAAGAGACCTAAATTCTTTTTACCTACAAGGCATGACATTTCGACCCTTCGTCAACCGATCTTTGTCACGTGACCATTGATGTGAACATATATCTATATCATTCATAGGTTAAACCATGTTTAGTTTCTTTAGAAATGATTTACTTTCTCACCATCATTACACAAAAGACAAAAAATCCTTTTCCACAGTGCAGGTTGAATGACAAGTTTAATTAGTGCTTTGCTGTAGATTTTCCATTGATCCATTGAGGCATGAAAAATAGGTTAGATATGGTTCAGCAGAGGGATCATCAGTACCTGCTCATACACACAAAATGATTGTGTGTGGTTATATTTTGTACAATAATGCGATGTGTATGTATACATTCTTACCTAGCAGGTAATATTTAAAGCGTACCTTTGTGGTTTATTCAGTAGAGGAATCACCAGAACCAGCTGCCTACTTAGTGATTGCATTGGGTCATATTGTTTTCAATAATTTAGTACCAATATAAGTATGATATATTCTTACTAGGAGGGCAATAATTTAAGGATCTATTCTATAGCAAGTACTTGGTGAGATTTTTAAAAAATTATCGAGCCTGCATAAAATGGCATTTTGATATGTGTATGTGAAACTGGTAAAATGTGTCTTATTTTCCAACCAAGATGTAGGCATGCTGAGTGATATTATTCAGATAATGGTTATATAATGGCAAAGGGCCAGCTTACCAGTACACTTAGCTGTAAGATCACAGGCGGTTGACGTAGTTAAAGAACTGTCAACAGATTACATTTAGAGAACTGGACCAGATTATACAAGAATCTGGTTATTATGTAGGTTCTGTATGAAATATCTATTACTAGGAATTGTGTAGATCACAGGGACTTTGGATCAAATTGATGTTATCAAGTCATCAAGTTATCCTTAAATTAATATAACAATACTGTAGGTAATTAGTGTAGTTAAAGAATAGATCTCATGAACACAGCGTTAGATTTATATTAATTTCCGTATGTTGGGGCAGTTTAAGAATAGATCCTGAAGCTCTGAATCAAGTTGTCAGGACATTCATGGTTTATTTTTAGGCACTGGATGTAGTCAGGGAACAGATAACACAACCATTGAATCAGATTAATTAATTTACCATGTCACTAAATTATTATTCACATTTTAGGTACTGGGTGTAGTTAAAGAACAAATCACACGAGCATTGGACCAGAATCCGGCCACATTTGATGCATTTAGGAGCCACCTGGGCAAGCTGACATACTCTGAGATCACCCACCTGTGGCAAGAAGAGAGAAAGATGAAGGAGGAGAGAGAATCCTTCGCCAAGCCCATACAGTGAGTGGTAGTTGTGAAGCATCCTATTTTATATGGGTAAAATGCAGCATGGCAGGTCGAGCTTTGTTTGCACGTATTTGGTCTAGAGCAAGAATACAAAGGGAGAGTGGTGTAGAACCTCTATATATAGTTTTTTTTTTTTTTTTTTGCTAGATAAGAGCAGTGAGGTCTATGTGATACATGTGTACTATAAATTAGCAGGACTTGCAAATGGGTGTCACATACGTCTTGCTGACAAGTGTACTGTCATACATATGTAGTGTTTGTGTGTGCAAGGTACAGCATGATCAGCACTCGGTCTTTTTAATTAGTTCTCAACATACAAGTGGTACACCAGTGTGTTGGTGTATAAGAAGGGGGAAGACTTAACTGTATGGCCAGTATTTATAAGACAAAGTGCTGTTGGAAGGATGCTGATGATGTGTAAGATGCTGGCACTTGAATTATGATTTTATATGAGCATATTTTATACCTATAACATTTATAAGATATTCATGAATCATAGTCTTTGCGCTTGCTACAAACAAAGGCAACTTTGGAGTAACTGATCATGCACACATCACTTTGGAATAATACCAACATTTGACTTGGTTATTTTATGTTTTCAGAGAGCTACGAGAACAAATCAAACCAGAGATGATGGAGTTGATAAAGCAGCAACGTCTCAATGCACTGATGGAAGGGATGCAGTTTACAAAGTATTCTAATAAAGGACAGAGATTAAAAGGTATGCTTTTTATTACATATTATCATGATGTAATTAAGATAAGAGAGGAACATTGTAGTTCCTGATCAATTGTGCCAACAATATTGTATAAGAATATGTGGTCTTACACCCCATTCTCATAGATTAGATCGACCTACATTGGATCGACCTAACTCCCTGGGGGTTCACGCTAAATAGCTGTCAGCCGGGCGGACACGAAAGTTAATTACCCCTTAAAGCTTGTAGTAGGCGGGGACGGACACTTAAGGGGGATTATCTGACAGTAATCTAGTGAGACTCCCCGCTGTGATAGATCGATCTAAAAGTTGTGAGAACAGAGCCTTATATATTGATTTTAGGAGACTGCTACTAAATTCTTATTTTCTATAAAATTTCAGCTGTACTCTGTTGGAGTTGATTCTGAAACAAAAAATTACTCTCTTATCGATATTTTTGTATATCAGCTCCAAAGTTTCACCTGAATAGTACAAGCATGTCACCATATTGGTGCATGACATTAATCAGTCAACTTTCTTCCTGAAAGAGTTTGTTAACTGTTCTGAATATGAATCTGAATATAAAAGCAGTTTTATAATATAATGTTGATCATATATCATTTCAGACAAGTTCTGGTATTGCCGCCTATCCCCCAACCAAAAGTTGTTCTACTATGGAGACTGTAATGAGAGTGGTCCCACCCCAGCATTGGAGACTCTGCCACACAAATGTAAGACATTAGTTAGCATTACCCTAGTGTTTGTAACATATTATGAAAGTTGTTCTACTATGGAGACTGTAATGAAGTGGTAAAGAGACTGCCACTCAAATGTAAGGCATTAGCTACCTAAACCTTAGAGGTTGTAAGATATTATGAAATCCTTTCTAGGAGAAATGTCCCAGGTGCAAGATGTCCCCATTTAACAATAATTACTTTTTTCAGGAAGAAAAATTATTGTAATTATGTAAACATTTTGTCACAGTTAATTCATTGAATATCAAAATATATATTAATATTGATTAGAATTATTACAAATTGTAATAGTCACGATTTTTACATCTTGTGTTCCAGTGGCTGTTGTAGATATCAAAGCTCTAGTAACAGGGAGAGAGTGTCCACATGTAAAGGAAAAAGCTCTGGGGAAGAAGGTAGGTGGACCAGGTTTAAGGTTTATTCCAAAAAACTGTGTTTAGCAGAAATTATATTTGTAATAATCCTGTAAGTTAAAGATTCTTGCATTGAGCATCTGAATAGATAATTACTAAAGTAGAACTGAAGTCAAATAATACCTAGTTGTTATCAGAAATGTTCCTATGAACAGGAATCTTGTGTTAGACCAAGAATCCAATGCCATGTAACTGTTATAGCATTGGTTTATGGTTAAACTGAGTTCTCTTGTGTTCACAAAATATACATTACCAATCACCAGGCCAAAACTGTCCAAAGTTTATATATTTAATGATTCCATGTTATTACACATATAATATTCCATATGTTTTTTTAAAACTTAGAATATTAACAATGACAGCTGATCTTAGTTGAAAGATGTAACAGTTATTGTAATCTTAATTCACTGTCTTTGAGGCCACAAAATCATTCCTAGCTATTAAATAATGAAGGGGCTCTTATATGTAGATTTTTTTCATCATTTCAGTCCACACCTCTCCATGCTTTTTCCATCATGTCAGACACTGCAGATCAGGCCCTGAACTTTGTGGCCTCCAATGAACAGGAGTATAACACTTGGACAGACGGAGTGAATGCTCTCCTGGGGAACCCTGTAAGTTATTTATTTATTTGTTTATTTATTTATTTATTTGCATTTGTAAAGTCCTGATTGCACCAGGAAAGATTTAAACCTGAATTAAACTTAATGATGCAATTAAATGAATTTGTGAGTAATTTCTGCATTATGCAGTCATGTTCACACCAGGAGTAACTTAAAACTTAATTGAACAATTTATGCCATTAGGTATACCAGTAAGTGCATATGCAGTAAACATGTATTTGCTTAAAAAAATAAGACACAGTCAAAATTACACCTGAAGTAATATTAATTTTATTTAACATGTTTTTTCCAGATGGTCAGTGAGATGACCACCCAAGAACTGGACATGTTGCTTAGCATGGAGATCAAAATCAGGCTGTTGGACACGGAAGGAGTAACAATACCTGAGAGCCCCCCTCCCATTCCTCCACCTCCCCCCAACTTTGACTTCAAGTACAAAATATAACAGTACATTAATTGATGTTTGTTAAGATCTATGAAGAGTTTTACAATATGGCATTAAAAAGGAATACTGTCCAGATTAATGCCTGTCACAGATAAGCTTATGGTGAATGACATTTGAAATGTGTTGTATGGATTTTTTACTCCAATATGTATATTTGAGCCTGTAAGATGTTTGCTTTTTTTCATCATATTCAACAAGTCACAGTCAGCTTTTATTTGCAAGATGCTGGTATTTGAAATCCTGATAGCAACTGGATTCTAAAATTTTATATGTCAGTACATTCTGAAATATTATCACTTAACTTGAATTTATCACATATAGTCTATGGCACAATGAAGAATTCAATAAGTTGTCAAAAACTTTAGGGAAGATATAAAATTATATATTTTACTCCAGGCTACAAGGCTATCAAAAACCCAACTGTAAGGGGAGGTACTGTATGTAACCCCTTCCCCTGGTTTCTGGGAGTGTGGAAGCTTTATTGTAAGAGAAGATCTGTGAAATGTACCCTGGTTTTCACAGCCTATTAATTAATGTCACCTGTAAGGAGATAATGTATATAAATCTCCCACCTCGGGTTTCGAGCCTATCATAATGCATCAACTGTACTCATGGGAGATGCATGTACAGCCTATCAGAAAATGTCAACTGTATTGTGAGCAGAAAACACCCGCTGATCATAGAGGAAAACCTGCTGTTGGCATAGAAATCTAAGATAATCGATTAGTCATATGAACATGAATTTTGCTGTCGTATTTATGATCATTGTACCATTCCCTTTTGTTTGTGCAAAGGGATTTATTGTAACTGTGTGTTCTTAATTTAAAACCATTTTGTGATGCCTAAGAATACTGAAGGTGCTACTTTATGTGTATATTTGCATGTGTATATTTGAAAAAAAAAATAGCAGTTTATTGCCCAAATGCTTGCAGGTTTCTATGTGAAGTAAATGGATTGAGTTAGTATATTTTGTTGTTAGTATAATTGTCACAGTATCAAGGTAATAGAAAGGCACCTGCAGGTGCGAGTTCAAATTTTTTTCACAAAAATGACTTGTATTTAATTCATCAAACATTTATCTGTGGTTAAATGTGTGTGTGTGTAGGTGTGTGTGTGCACAATTCTGAAATGGCTCATTCGACCAAAAAATGTGAACATTTGAGTCAAGTCCATGACATATATATTTCGTGTTTAATGCCCCACTTAGGTACTTGTCCCACTAAGTATTAAAAGCTGAATATTCAAAGATGAAAAACAGTCAAAGAAAATAACACAAATGTGTGCATCACTGACGTGACTCAAATGTTTTTTTTTTTTCTTTTTTGAATGACCCAAATGCCTTTTGGTGCACCAGGTCTGTAGTTATAATTGTAATAACATTGTAGGTCTAGATTTTTTTAGATTGAGTTTTATGTTTATCCTTGACAATAAAGGACTTGTTTATTATGAAAGTGAAAATTAAGCCAGGTTAAGTGGTCTCTGACCTTAAGGATTGTACAGTACTGATAACATTTACCATAATAATCAGAAAATGTCAAACTCTGAAGTTGGCATTCATAATTCAAAGAATAGGAAGTCACTGTCGGATAGGATACTTTTTTATATATGAAAAATATACAATTATCATGTTCTTCCTATTTTATGTAGCAATTTTGGAATATGTGTTCGTGTAAGACATCTTACTATAATGTCAAGAAGTTGAAAGATCTGTATACTAAAAAACTTATTTGAGTTTCATAGCAAAAAAAAACAATTAATCATTGTTCTGGGAGTTGTCAAGAGTTTTGACACTAGGGTTGTTGTTACAGTGTAGCTTCTGCAAGGTGCAGTTTGTGACTGCTAACTTTACTATTGCATGTTATGTAGTGAGAGTTGGAATTTCATATATTATGATACAGTAGACTCCACATAACCCATTACCTTATACCTGAATAATCATTTATTGCAAACTTTGTCTCAAATACTTCCACTGATTAACAGATCAGTGGTGATAATCATTTATGAAAAGGGGGGTGGGGGGTTGCACTAAAATATAACAAGTCAGTCATTAAATCATTCATCTTAGCTTGTAAATGGTAATAAGAATATGAGTTGCTCCTAAATAAATAAGCATGGTTAAGATGCAGCAAGAGCTTGGTATTTTTAAATGTCTCATATTTATGATTTATATTCGCAAAAAGTTTAATGTGTAATACATTGTCCACTTTATTGTAAATTTGATTTCTTTTGTTGTGTGCTCACTTTAAAGAAAATTTCAATTCAAACAAAAATAATTTGTATAATGAAGTGTAAACAAGGCCACAATAATTCATACAAAATGTTCTTTAAACATTAAGAAAGAATATTATAATACCTACATGGGAACTTCATTTTTGGAGAATGAGTAACTTTGAATAAAAGGCTACTGAAGTCTCCTTCGGACATGTGTGAAAATACCTTGAGTATTGCGACATTGTTGCGCAGCTTGCCATTTCTGGGACCAACCTCGCCATCTGTTTGCAAGTTCATTTGGACAGGATGACACTCTATACATTTTTCAGAGTTTTGGAAAAAAACTGCATAGAAAACAGAGTCACACTGCAGAGGAAAAGCTAAGATGCTGCAGAGAACAGTCGCATTTAACTACGACAAAAACCAATTTTATCAGCTACAGTCACGTTGCACAATATCTTGCATGCCTTCGGAAGTGATGAAATCTTGAGGAACCCAACAAAATTCAAATTTCACTTCTGCAGCCTATACAATAAAATTTACAGCATTTATAGAGAACAGTGAATATTCATTTATTTGAAAAATGCATGATAACTAAAACCAAACAAAGCACAAAAACCAACCATGACAACACTAGTCTATATATTTATACAACCAGTACCTATATGATCATTATAATAAGATCTTCCAGGTTATTTCTTCAACTGTAAGTATATTATGCACATTCACAATATATTACTGTTAAATTTTCATTAAAATACAATTACAGTGATAAAACCATAACAAAAACAACTTATAAACAGTGCACTTCCATGTGAACAAGATATAAATAACTGCACTAAAATGGAATTTTTGACAGAGAGACATTCTGGCAGTACCTACCTAGCTAGACATTGTTCACATAGCTGCCATGGGGTTCTGGTTTGTTCTTACAGCACATCTCTTTGTAATCCGCAAAAGAAAGTATCAGCAGTAAGACCTCATATATTACATCATATTGGTTATTCTGGCAATAGGTATAAGCACATTCAGCTTTATTTCAAGAATGCCCAAAGAGATACAAATATTGAGATTCACTAATAAATCAATTGCAGCGTTGCTTACATGTACAAATATACTCATCCAAAGCTGCACATATAAAATAAAGGCTAGTAATTAACAATGCCCAAATATTGTCATAAATTCATATCAAATACAAAGTCACCACATGGTATCAATACATGTCAAAATGATGAAATAAATATATTAATTGGATTATGTACAAACAATTCCAAACATAACCACACTGCTTTTGTTCACTTATGGTACAAAACTCTTATAGGGCATTAAGGATAAAATATTCTTCTTGATTCCCATAAGTGGGTGGAGGATATATACCCCCTCCTGGTTCGTTTACTAATTAAAGCTGATTAAATTTCCTCTAAGTGACAAGCTGCATGAAACAGAAACAGTTTTTTAACAAGGTCATAACAAATATACAAACACAAAACCAAATATAATATTATATTTATAACTAAAGTATACATAAACAGGGTTATAATTGGGTAAACAGTTACATAACCAGTTTATAACAGTTATATACACATCAAAACGGATGTGAAGTTAGATACCAGATGTTTCATTTCTGGAATTAAATTTACTAACGTAATGATACTATATCAAGTATACAGTATCATATATTCGTTATAATTTATACAGTTATGTACTAGTAAGTAAACTGTACCATGACTACGATACAGTTACACCTTAGAAAGTATATATGCTAATTTTCATGATGTAACCAGATCCTCACTGAGATATAAACCATATCCTCACTGGGATATAAACCATATCCTCATTGGGATAAAAACCATATCCTCACTGAGATATAAACCATATCCTCACTGAGATATTAACCATATCCTTACTGAGATATTAACCATATCCTCATTGAGATATAAACCATATCCTCATTGAGATATAAACCATATCCTCACTGAGATATAAACCATATCCTCACTGAGATATAAACTGACCATTTATATCAACATTGTACCCAGTGTAAACAGATTCTTGAAATAGTTGCATTAATCAATGCAACCAAAACATATATGATACGTTTTTAAAATATGAATAAGGAAATAAAGATAAATCTTACCATACACTTCAATTCTATAGTTCCCTATTATACACATCATTAGTAATCAAAACCAATGGTTGACATACAATGATAAAGGAAGACTAGGCAGTGCAAAACTTGATTTTAATTAAGTGTACGTCATTTAAAGACAGATTCAAAATAAATAGCCTTCCATAATATATGACCACATGTACAATGATGTATCTAGAATCCATAAGTTTGCATACACCCTAAGGTTTGCATGTTGGTTACAAACTGTTCCATGAATTCCAATCTTAAATCTAAAACTATACACCCTCATTTTAAGATATATATCTAGTTCACTTATAGACTTATCTGTCTCCATGGCCACATTTTGGCAGCATAATCAAAGGAACTGTTCAAGGGAATATAGGGCAAAAAATTATTGGTTTAAGCTAATGTAATGGCTTTCTTGTACAAACCATCCATTCCTGAACATGTTCCACGCCAGACCCGTAGCGAGAGGGGTTCGGGGGGTTCGAAAGAACTGCCCCTTTTGTTGGGAAAAGGTCCACTCAGGGTAACATTTGATCTAGGTTCATGAAGCTTTTATGGAACAAAGTCCATTTTTTCGGAAAAAAGAACCCCAATTTTAAAATTGCTGGCTACGGGCCTGCATGCTTAGAACTTCCCTATAGATACAGGTTCCTTTACAGTTTCATGAAGTGATGATCCACCACCTGCCCACCCCTGCCAGGAGAAGCACTAGAACTTTTGCAAGGCTGCCGAGAAAAACATTTAATCAACATTTGTTTTATTCAGTGCTTTAATCTCACACAGTGCCTCCTAAGATCACTGTGTCCCTTCTAAGAGTTATACTTGATTTAATTTTCTTTATAACTGTTCACTAAAAACACTTGTTTAATGTTTATGCTTTGTGTGAGACTCTTGGTTGTTATAAATATTAAACTTTATGTAACAAAATATAGGGTGTGTATATATTTTCAAACAAACAAACAAACAAAAATACACTTAGCCCTTAAAAGACAGAAGGCACTTGTACTAGAATGAGGTCCATATTCCTTTGCTAGAACACAGAATTCACAGAATATTTCTGAAATACATCAAAAATTGGTTTTGAAATGCTACATGATGTGTCATTTTTATCCCCATCTTTTGACTAAAGAAGAAAATTATCAATGCTTTTGTTTCAGGCTATAAGTTAATTTTAAGAATGCATATACTTTAGGCTAAAAGTTCATTTTAAAGAGTGCTGTAACATTGCAACAGATCTCCACACTTGTTCTACAAACTATAGAATATTCTAATAGTTAATGAAAATGATCAAACTGACAATGACATACAGTAAGTCATAATGACTTAATTTACAAAACATCATTAAATATCTGAATTTACTAGTTATTATTTATAATTGAACTCTTAGCAGTTCTATGTATTTTATTTTTGCATTATCTAGTTATTTGGCTTTATAATTCATTATCTCATATAAATAATGCATTTAGCTCTGAATAGATATCAGAAATAAGCACCCTGTGTTTGAAATCTCTGCATTCACAATGATGTGGTCCATCTTGCATCCCCCATACACTGCTGCCATCTGTTAGTCTGTTTTCCCTTCTTGAAAGACCACATCAAACATCTTTTGGCCAAGCACTGTGCTTTTCACTAAAAAAGAGAGAAGACATTAAATCTTTATAGAAATTATTGATAGAAATACTTAAAGGGTAAAAATTGAGACAATAATTTTGACCAGTTGGCCAGGTATAAGTCACAGGCAGTCACCCCACATGAGGAAATCAGGTCAAGTTAAATTTCACTCAAAAAAAAAAAAAAAAAAAAAAAAAAAAAAACTGGCATAGCCTACATTGCTGATATACATCAAAGCTTAGGAATCTTAATCTACCATTAACTTTTTTCCGACTTATGAGAAACTTGTTACAACCACTGTCCCTAAAATAATACTCACTTGTAAAACATAAGTGTCTTGATATATATATATATATATATATATATATAAAATAAGTATTAAAATTATCAAAAACACCTCGCTCACCAATGAAATTCTGTACAGACTTGGGCTTTTTCTTCCAGCAGACTCCTATAATATAGACAGGTATCCCGGACACCACACAGAGCACCCCTATCCCAGTGTCCCTGGTGGCAGCGTACAGAGGGACCACCAGGAGGAAGACAACAGCTATCAGGAAACTGATGGGGATGATCAGGTTGAACTGGAAAGAAAATTAAATTATAGAAAAAAACTGAAATGCTCAAGTGTAAACAGCTCTAAGTTTAGCTGTTGTTTGAAGAAATTACAGTTACTATTAAGCTTGCCTCAGTTTTCGGCCTTACAAGCTCACGGTACCCTTACCGCTGGTAAGGCCTCATAGTAGTATGTACAAAAAACTTGAGACACTTAAGTACCTCGAAATGTCCACGTTCTGACAATCTCTGTGGGTCCTCCGTTGTACCTTGTAGTATGTAAATCCAATTAAAAGTGTTTTCGTGTACCTTCAGGCACGAAGTTCATAAAGTTTTGGTCACTTTATTTCAGCTTCCTCCTGCACCGACACAACAGCACGCCATATTGTGGTACACTTGCGGAAAGGACGACCACCTTTTCAAGGTCGACCTCGAAATGGANCTATTAAGCCCTTTTCACATTGAGTAGCAAGGTACATAAACAGGGAATCGGTACTCTGGTTGAGTGACAGTGATAAGCACGAGTTTTTTGTAGGTAACTCCCTTGTGTAATTGCAGGGCTATGTAGTTGTCAATCCTCCTAGTAAGTAATTTAATACTGAAAAAAATATGTATACAGTAAGTTCTTGTGTGAAAAGGGTCTTATTTAAATTTGTGTGCATGATACAGCTGTGGATAACTCAACAGAAAGCCGCTGAGTCAGGAGTCAAAACATGACCAATTTACATTAAAAGTAAAAAAGAATGGCTTCAGCATCAACTACTGTGAATTTAGTTGCACTTATGTTGTCAGATCATAAGAAAATTATGAATATAACTTTTATTCTGAAAGTCCTAATCAGAATTCCCATGAGCAGGCCATGCAGAGACAAGCCAAACTAACATCTTACATGTACAGCACAAGGGATAGGGTAAACCATTATATCTGCATTTATCATGGAAAACTATAATGTCTCTTACCTTGATAGGCCTGGGTCTGTCTGGTTCCTTAAAGCGTAGGTACACCATGCCTGTGATGGAGGCCCCCACTGACAACCACTGTACAAAGCTCATGTAGTTGATCAGTGCAAATACATCACTGGAGATTAACATCAGGAGGGACATGATGCCCTGGAAATGTATCAAAGTTTTTTTTTTCCTTCATATCATTCTTTTACTTCAGAAAAGATTTATGCTAGAAATGTGTCCTGGAATTTTACAGGACAGGACATCACATTAAGTTTTTGTTAATAATTTGTTTCCAAGTGTAGATCTTTGCCAATGGTAATGTATATTTTTAAGCAGTGACATCACGGCTCTGCTGTGGGTGCATGTGGAGTTCTACACTCGCACCAGTGACATAACTATATTCCTAGCTGATAACCCCCTGCTTGTCCCCTTAACACCTGATGTGACCAAAATGCACAGAGGAGGACTCTAAATTCATGATTACAATCTGTGTGTCTTATCGCATTTAGGCACTCAGAAAATGTTGTTCCCTTTAAATCAATTTTTCAATTTACCGTGAACAACATGGCTGGAGTTGGTGTGAATCTCTTGGAGTGAATCATTCCAAGGAAAGCTGGCAGGTGCCCCTCTCGAGCTCCAACAAAAAACAATCTGAAATCAAGAGAAAATGTTGAAAACTCTGAATGGTTTACACACATTACTTAATGAAGCTTTCCATTAATTCTCACCAAGTGACTAATTTTTTTTTTTTTTTACATCTTCACATCTATTAAAACATTTATGCAGTTTTTACACGTGAAATCTCACAAGCTCCTAGACCATCCTGAGCTGCTACTTTTTTTTCTCAATCTATAAATACATTATTGAAATATGAATGTTTCTTCAAATAACCATATTATTATCAAGATTAGTCTAACCAAATGCAATAAAGAGACTAGCACGTACTCTCCTGTCATTCTCATGCCGTTTCTAGTACAAAACATCAAAATTATATTTGAATAAATTTTATAGAAATACTGAGACACATTTTTTACTTAAAGGACAATGTTCATGTAAAAATCCATTTCTCGAATTTTGAAGATACAGCACTCAATCTATACACTAAAGGTATGTTTTAATCGATCCCCACCATTTAAAAATTATAAAAACAATCTATTAGTAGAAAAAAAGAGTTTTAGTAAACCTCACCTCAATATGCAAAAATGAAGCAACAGATCTGGGTCACGTGGTACTGTGACGACAATCACGATAAAGGTCTATGAGACTCAACTGAGCTGCATGGTGCATACAGACGGAGAAGTTAAGGAAAGTTGTGTTGAACGGAGTTGAGGAATTTTCGTTATGCCTCGGTGTGTTGCCGTGGGATTCACCAAAATTGCAGCTCTCGTTGACAATCTTTCTTTGTCTGTGACGGTCTTCCGTGACTTACTTACTAACTTCGGTGACAATAGTTGCGATGCTCTAGATCATGGTCACCTCAGGTGGTTTAGATCATATCAAGAGCTGGTAGTCTTTCAGATTAACTGTCATCAGTTGGCAAACTTACTGATTGCTGATGCATTTTAAATGCATTGTAGTTGACCAAAAGCTCGTTTACAACAAACCTGTTAATTATGCACCGCTGCAATTCCCAAGCCAGGTAATAACAGGTATGAAACTCGTCTTGGTGGGCTTTCATATTTTTCAATATATCTCATTTATTTCATGGGGTTATTTTATTGGTATTTGTAAATGACGTTAAATATCAATACTTAAACAATTAANTAATTTGTGTATTTGGATAAAGATATCGTTAGTTGGGCATGTTTTCTGAAGAATATGTTCCGTTCAGGCCATTCTGACGGCATGAAGCAAACTCTTTAATACATGCTAACATTAAAAACATGAGGCAGATTACTTTCCTACCTCCCTGAGGTAAAGATCAGTCCATTTACTCCTCCAAAACAAGACAGAGCCACAGAAACTGGCATGATCCATGCCATCACACCATATATACGCTCTCCAAATGACTGAAATATAGCATACAAAAACCTTATTTCAAAGCAATGTTTATTGCTTTATTGACTAATGGAATGGCCATAAATCCAACATGGGTCCTCTATGGAATATATCACATAGTAGACTCCAATGGAAATTTTACTGGATATCCAAAAGAAAAAAAAAGAAAAAAAAAACACATTCTAGCATGTATACACTATACACTTTAAGTTACTCATATTTGGTATTATGAATGGATGGTTTACTATAAGAATAATTGACCTTTGGAAGATTGAAAGTTTGAAAGTCTGTAGCTACATGACTCAGTTTGCTATGTGCAACACTTACCACAGCTACAGCATTGGAGTTGAGCACTTCCTTAGGACTGAGAACAGCCAGATAGCCAACATTACCAAGAACATACACAAAGGAAACTATTGGGATAGCAATATAGATGGCTCTGGGGAGATTTCTGAAAATAATACATCTCTTGATTAGTCCACTTATCTGTAAACCATTTAGTTTTTTATATTTATTTTTATCCTAAACCACAGTGCATAATATTGTGGAAACGTGTGGATAGTTAAAACTGAAGAATTAGTTAATAAGAAATTATGTGAAGAATGATGATAATTTAAAATCTGAAATACAGTTTCTTCCCTAATCTAATACCTTGTTCATATATACAGTGACATATAAGTAGGCCAGATATTAGTTTGTGAAATGTAAAAAAATATCTTACTTAAATGGTTCTATCATTTCTTCTGTAACAAAGTTCAAGAAGTTCCTAAAATAAAACAATAGGTAAGACATATAGAATATATGACAAACAATTTAGAATTTGACAAATTACTGAAAGCTATAAAGATTTTGCATATTGTCTGTTTTAACCCAAGCACGTTTTGAAACACTCTTGATTTGGATCAGACTGAAGGGGCAACCAATGAAGCGCAAAATGGTTACTTTATAAAATATATTTATATGTCATCACACTTCATAATTTTTCTGTACTTTTTTGGTCTATAGAGCAAAAATAACTGGAGAAAAAAAACAATGAAAATAAAGGCCACAACTTACCAGCCTGCATATGCAAACAAGCCAGAATAAAGAGCCAGGGAGACATCCCCCACATCTGTGGTTGTCCCTTCCCAAGGTTCAGCAAAACTGTCTGTTTTACCTATAAATACACAGCACCTCTTGGTGTAAGGATCAGATGAAACAAGAAGACACCAACATCATATAACTACTAGAAAGAGTCAATTAAATGATCACAAGATGTGAGGATGACAGAACTGAAATACTTTTGGGTGTTAGAACTGGGTGAAAGGAGACATCACTATAATGATGATAACAGTAAGAGATATAATCTTAATTTGACAAAATAATTTTTACAAGTTTTACCCAGATAATTGAGAAAGAGAGAGAGAACAAGGTTAAAGAAGATGAAAAAACAAATTTTTAAAATCTCACCCATAATCAATACCACTACTCCTGTTAAAATGATAAGAACTAAAGCCAACAATTTGGCAATAGTGAATACATCTTGCACTCTTGTTGCCCATTTTACATTAGCTATATTGATTACCATTAAAATACCTAAAATTGAAAATATATAAACTGACATAAGCAATGGTTGTTAAAAGGTGGAAATAAGGTAAAATTTGGCCAATTTGAAAACCAGGCATAATCTACAAACGAACAGTTTCTTTAGGATGTACATTACACTTTAATCTCAATGTAAAACAACAGATAACATTTAGCAATTAATTGAACTTCATAACTTTTTTTTTAATTGCCAAAAAATATTTTTTTCATTTGCAGCAATGAAAAACATCAAATTTAACATGTGGCATGACTGTCACAACACACAAAGAATGCAGCAGATGCTTTCTGAAATGCAATCTTCTTCTCCAGCACAATTATCATTCATCTTCTGCACAGCCAGCTTCTTTAATGCAATCATACTTACGAAAAAAATGGTTCCACTAAACCCACACAAACAAAATGTATATTTTGTTTCATCCTATTGTAGTTTTTAAATAACTGAAGAATGGGAATTAAATCATAACACAACAGTGACCACAAGGTCAATTTCCCGATAAAGTACAGGCCTGTAGCCAGCAATTTTAAAAGGGGGGTTCTTTTTCTGAAAAAGTGGACCCTTTCCCATTAAAACTTCATGTACCTAGATCAAATTTTACCCATAGTGGACCTTTTCCTAGCAAAAAGGGTGGTTCTTTCGAACCCCCCGAACCCCCCCTGGCTACGGGCCTGAAGTATATGGGATATATAGACATACACCTCAAAACTCACACCAGCTCTATGTAGGTGTATGTTCACTATAATTTCATTCATGAATCTGTCTAAGTTTGCATAAATATTAATAAGGTTTACATCCACCCTAAGCCACATCATATTTGACAAGTCTGACTAATGGAGACATATACCCATATCATGTAAGCAAAAATGGGGTTATGATTTTATCATTTATTAATGTGTAATATTGGCAATGACATAAAAACAACATACTGAATCAATTATGTATTGTGCTTTTTTTCCATGCCAATAGTACACTGTTTGCAGGTGCATAGCTTCAAGTTCCATTCATACTTTCTCTACAGCTAGACACATTTGTCTACAGAATCACATATTTGTCAACAGAATCACACACATGTCAACAGAAAGCCATAGAATATGTCAGCCAGAGGTAGTGCAGCTGTCATTCAGAAATGAAACAGCAAATACATTGTACTGCAGCACCACCACTACATGCAATAAGTCACTCTAAATTTTGCCTGTTAATCAATAATCCTTAAATTTATAGAACAATGTCACAGGTTTAATTTGTCTATTGTTGGCAAATTACCATGATGTTTTTTTTTTCTTTCTTTTTTTCTATTGGTAAACCTTGCATTTCTGCATTATTATCACACAGACATTTAAATTCAGTTCAATGTCAGAAATAATTTGATAATATGCATGTCCAAATACATAGACTCCAGTGTTTGACACTAAAAATTGAAATATTAATGCAAACAATTGTGTTAATAGAGTCAATTAGGGACATTTTGAAGTATGTGCACTGCATTTTTAAATCTAAAACTTCACTGCCCAATTTCTCAATATTCATACTGTTTAACAGCACATATATCAAGACAAATATGCAATTTTATTACATCTATAGCTCATTTTAAGCCAAATATAGTAAAACTTCCCTTTTTTGTTACATTGCATCATCATATACCTTCAGCACTTCAATTATCATTTCTGTCTCCCAGGTATCTATATATGTAAATTTCATCTGACCTTATTGTGCATTGCATCAGCATGCAGTTTTCTCTTTATTTCCTGAAACTTTAGTATTTTTTCTCTCCAATGATCAATAAATGTCAATAAATGTCATGCAAAAGATTTGGCAACAGATTTTTTTTTTGGGGGGGGGGGGGGGGGTTAAATTTTCTGATAAGTAATACATCACTTTTCATGCGGAGGATGTATGACAAAATGAAACAGTTATTAAAATGTGAAATATGCCACACAATTTTCCCTTTTTTTCTATACACTCTTTCTGCCTTATTACTCAAAGATTTCTCTCCAATTCTCTCACAACAAATGCCATCCTCAAATACAATCCAACTTAATAACTGAGGAAGCATTGCATCAGAAACACACCAACCTTTTCATCTGAATCATCAGTTTATACACATGATTTGTATTGATCTCTCTAACCACACATTATACATGGTACAAACACTTTGAGGAGGGGGGGGGGGAGGGGGAGGGGCTCAAACATACCATCCACTTGGATATCTATCAAGTCCTGAACTAATTTTATTAAACAGTCCATTTTTTTTCTAAAAGAAATACCGCAATCCAATAACTGACCACAGATCTGTTTCACACATGATCTCAGTGACAGACACCGTGTAATACAATGATCATGAAAATTTCATACTGGAATATTTTATCACCCTGACTATCTCCAAACCAACAATTAATCTGCCCGATACTAAAGAAATATTACCATATTTTAAGTACAGGCACATGTGAAAAAAAAATGGGTATTCAAAGAAGGAACTGCACACGTACAGTAAGACAAAAGACAAAAACTGAAAAGAGAAATGAAATTTGGGAATCAACTTTACTATTTTTAAAAACTGTCTCCTACACTGCAGTGCCACAAGGATAATTCTGTCATAAACTACCCTCTACCAGGGCAAGAGATTGATTTTTCACAGATATGTCTCTAGATAAATAGACAGTCATTTTCCGTTTTTCCCTAAAAGTATATAATCTGCCACCCTGGTAGATGGTAGCCATAAACCCTTTTTAAAATACTCTACTGCCAGATGTCACTGCGTACACACAGCAGTACAAAACATTTGACTAAGCTTGAAACACCCTGTGTTTCCTGTTGTCAAGATCCACAAAAGATAAAGTTATAGAAAAAACCTGCTCTGCTGAGTTCCTCTCGCTCCCAGTAAGTAAGACCCCATTCCCACAGATTTTAGATCGATCTATCCCTGTGGGGAGTCTCACTAGATTACTGTCAGCTTAGTGGGCTAAAGCGTCTGTCACGCCTAAATATCTGTGGGAATCGTCCCTTATTTTCAAAGAAACTGAAACTCAGGGTGAAGATATCAGGAAAGGGAGCGGCGCTTGAAGCTAAATGCAATTAGGTTATTATTTTCCTTGACATTATTTCTCGACTCTTTTAAAGACAGACAATACATTTGCAATGTTATCCCAGCCCACCTGAGGTTCTTTTCAGTGCACATGAACTGTTTTAACGGTTAATAACCTCTCTTTCATGCTGCTTAGTATTTCTGATAGCAAGTACATCATCTTCTCTATAATTATTTCTGCACTGAATACATCCCAACTCTCTACAAGGTTTATAATGTACATAATGGGCACTGAAAAGGTGGCTACACAGAAACAGATTGAAACAGATCAGACCTACTGGGATGCTGGTGTAGATGTCTTTTCGTCAGTGTCACTTTTCTCTCAAATGGGTTTGCAAACATCAGTAAAGATATTAACACTTGACTGAGTTATGACCTCCACAAGGGAGGTAAATTTTTTATGTTTTTGCATTCAGTGATTTGTTAGTTAACAGCTTTACTCATAAAGCAGTGGATTGTTGTACTGGAATAACGAGCATCATTTTTGTTTAAATTTGTTCATCAAGCATTGGATTTATGATTCATAAAATAATAAAGCGAAATCTTCCTGAGAGGCTACAGTAAGTTAAAGTGCACAAGTATCAAATAAATGGCACTGATAAAGTCAAAATTTTTTCAAAAAATCAACCCAGCTAAAAAAAGTGAAGTATTTAATAAATTTGTATTACTTTAGTAATTTTCTAATTTTATGTTAAAACGGCCTATCAAGTTGTCTTAACAATGATACCTAACTTTTAAATAAAGTGTGGTTCAATAATTACCCTAGAGTTCCCAAAATCTGATGAAATACCTCAATGCAGCTTATCAATATAAAGGCAGACCCCTGAATGCCCAGGTAACATGATATAAGGTTATCTCCACTACAAGGGCAGGGGTTTGAGAGACAGCACCCAAACTGATAAAATAACCCAAACGGAACAGTCTGCTTTATCAAGATAAAAGCAAAAGTAACCTCTGGGGCTGGTTTCATCAAATAGCCTACAACTGAAAGCCAGTCTCAGTTCTGAGGTATAAAATGTGGCTCTTTTTAGTTCAGGATGATTCCAAATAAGTCAACTAAAATGAAGTTACTATTTGTCTTATTAAACATAGGCCATTTTTCCTTTAAAAACAGTCCCTATATTTCATAAAAGTTAAATATCACTGGTTGGACAAGCCTGGAACAACTATTCTTGGTGGTAGGTTTGATCAGCCATGTACAATTATTGGTCAATAATGGCTAAATTAAAAATATATCTTTTTGAACTGCAGGCAAGGTGAAGAATCAATAATCAATATTATAACTACTGTTACAGTAGAGCACAAACATCCATCTAGGATCAAACAAGACATTGCCAAGTAATTATGATCTAAAAATAAAAACCAACTCTCAGTCTTTGGGTCTTCTGTGGAACCAGATCCTGTAAAGGTGATTAAAATAACAGTATATTAAGGTTATCAGGAACCCAAAGAAAACTTGTCTGTGCATACAATAGGTTATCAGTGCATGTTTCATGTGAAAGCACAGCTCCATCTTGATAAGGAGAAAGGGTTTTTTCAAAAAGGATAGAGTGATTTTAATCAAATGAAGTTGAATAATTATGCAAAAGAAAAAAGAAAAAATCTGAACTTCTGTCTCGAATCTATCACAATCAGTGGGTGTGTAAAAGGTAATACATGGTAAAAAGGTATTACATTAATAATTATTTCCTCTACAGGGGTGGATTCAGAGATATATTCTGACATCTTCCAAATTATCTTTGTTGATCGGTTCTTCACTTTTGACCATCTTCCGACAGAAAAAACTAGATAACTGTCAATGTAAACTTGAAAATCTAACCGGAAGACCCAGAAGACGCCCTAAATCCACCCCTGCTCTATGATCAAAAAAGTTCCTAAAGACTTACTTTGTACTAAGTCCCAAATTTCTGAAATGGGTTGCTTTAAAGTGCTTCCAATAAA